TCCTGTACTTCTGTTTTCATGTCTTTTTTCAGTATTCTCTTTCATCCATATGTTCTCATCTTTCTCCTATTTAGGTTTCAAATGTACTGTTCTGGGTTATACACATATTACTGACTATCTACCAAGAGGAACTTGCATCTTTGTTTTTAACACCCTTCTTTTAAGTAAATATTAATGAAAGGGAATCTGAGTGAGAGAATAAAGGTGAATTGGCACAAACCCATCTCAGTTACTGGAAGGAAAACACTACCATCTCCTTTAGTGAGTTTTCAGATATAGAACATATTCAAGTGAAAAAACAAATATTGGAGAGCTCAAAGATTRTCCAAAAGGGCCAGTGAGCCAGAGATAGGAAACAGGAATAAGACTAAAAATCTCACTGCAGAATTGGTCATGGCAATGTTCTAGTGGGTGCAGAAACTGCTACTTGCACTATGACCATCACTAATGCAAGTCAGAGATTTCCACCTGATCTTCTGTGGAGATGGAAGATAAATCAACTAGAGTAAAGAAATAGATAAAGAATGTGCACTGTTTATATGATATTTTTGAGAAACTGAAAGAATTTGTTTTTGGAATAGGAAGAAAGAGATATGGAGGGAGTCAAGAGGCCAGTTGAGGTATTTAAAGAATTCTGTACTAGAGGTGATAGTATCTGGGTTAGGGTAATAACAGTGGGAATTGCTAAAATAGGTTTAATAGAATTGACATTTACAACTTGCTGACTTGTGTGTGGGGTATAACATAGAACAAATGGAAAGGATAAAATTAGGTACCAGATTTCTGCCCTGGATAATTAGGCAAATGATAATATCATTCACTGAGAAGAACGGATTTGGTAGGAAGATAAATTTAGTTTTGGAAGTTTTTAATTATTGTGCCCATCAGTTATTTGAGTAGAAATATCCAGTAGGAGGTAGGATTTAGAAGTATGAGGTCCATGAGAGAGAGCTCACTAGAAGATAAAGATGTTTGAAGTCACAAATATGTAGTACATTGGCTTTTAATCTTTTCCTCTGTCATATTAGTAACAGTGTGAAGGTAAGGGAATATCAAAGAAGCTGTAACAAAGTTTGCAAGTTTGGCTGAATATAAGTTCTAAAACCCTTTTTTTTGTGCTTCTGATAACTATCCCCATGCCAGCCGCACATACACAGCCTACTCCCAAGAATCATTGAAAAAGATGAATGAAACCATGGTAATGGATACAAGATGTCCTAGAGACTGCATAGAGTGAGAGGAGAAAGACCAAATAAATAGGGGAAGATACATAAGGAACTGAAGAAAATGAAGCCCAAAGGGTACAAGATAAAAGCAGTGGGTAGGAATTTCTGAAAATACAGTGAGGATRATATCTAAGGAGAGGAAAGTGATCAACAACAGCAAGTGCTCCTTTAAAGTCAAGTAAGAGGAAGACTGAGAAGTATTCATAGACCAAGCAACAAGTTGTGACATCATTGATCTTAGTATGAGCAAGTTAAGTGCAATAATGGAAGCAACTGTCAACATTCAGAGGATGAGTGAGTGAGTGAGAAAAGTAGGTAGTAAGGAAGTTAGCCAAGAGTAGAATTCTCTTAGGAAATGGCTGGGAATGAGATATGGAGGGACTAACAGAGAGAGAAGAGCAAGTAGCTGAAGGGGATATTTGTTTTATAGGATTTTGTTTGTAAAAATGGAATAATTTGAGGTGTGGTGTTAAGTGTTTATCTGTTGATGAGAAGTGCCATGAGAAAGGTAGAAGATAAGAAAAACAATSGGGCTCTAGAGTATTGATTTTGGGCCTCCTTCTGTATAGATTAGTTGACAGCCAGAAAAATCTAGAAGCCAAAAGTCCACTTAGAACAGACTAGAAGAAAGTAAGGCAGTTTTGTTCCAAGGCTCTTTTAGCAGGAAATGTGTAAAATATTGAAAATAGATGATATTTATAGCTCTTTTGCACTATATTTCAGTCTCAAATATTTTCCTTTTTAAGTGGGGACAACTTTCATTATATTAATGTTCCTCTTTAGATAGGCAGCTCAGTTCATTCACAGCTCTGCTAAAGGTCATTCAGTCAGTGGTAAATTAAAATCTTAGATTGTGCATTTGACTTTAAAACTGAATTTCTGCTTCAAGGTGATTTATTTGTATATTTTTATATGGAATTGTGGTGAAAGTGATGGCAAATGGGAGTGGTGACATGGGTTTTACCGTTAATGAAGTGGCCTACAGACTAGTAGAGTAGAGAAGGGGAATAGAGGAAGGTGAGAGGAGGGAAAGAGGAAGCACTAGGGACYGAAATGGAGCAAATTATATTACATACATACATAATTATGCCAAAATGAACCCCACCCCACTATTATGTATACTATACGGCAGTAATAAAAACATTTAGGGAAAAAAAGTAGCTTACAAATCACATTTTTATTTGGCTTTTGAGAATTATTGATTATGTTCTCGTGCATGTGTGCGCGCGCACACACACACACACACACACACACACAGACAAAAAGCCAGAACTTTTTAAATATAAATTTAAGGAAGTAGCTATAAAAAACTGAAATATTAATCTATACTTTCTTTCCTTTTCTTTTGTTTTAACACAGAAAAGCCTCCTAATAAAAGCAGTATGAGGATAGTAGTGGATTCAGAATCAAGGAAAAGAACCATAGGTTCCGGAGAACCTGGAGTTCCTACAAAGAAGACTTGGTTTGATAAGTAAGCTGACAGGAAAAATTGGAGAATTATATTGTACACAGATTTTTGGGATTATTACTGTATCACAATATGTTACATTTTTTTCTGTTCTATAAGCAAATCCCCAAATAAAATTTAAAGTTTTTTCCTAGAAATTTTAAAGTTCATTGTTTGGTACTAGAAAGGCATTTTCTTGTAAAAGCAGTATAGKGGCTAAGAACCACATTGCTTTTTCTTCTATCTACTTCCCAACTTCCTCAAAGAGAGATTACACTTTACTTGACATGTATTTTAATACTAGCTATGTGAAGGGTGGTCATAATACCATATCATTAGGAAAAAAAAGGTATGGATTAGATCTGGAAAGATCTTAGCATATAGGCCATTTCTCTTTAAGAGCTAGAAAGGATTGAAGAGGTAGGAAAGGTTCAGAGAAAGGTATAAGGAATCAGAATGTTGGGGAGGGTGTCATGAGTCATTTATAAATTTTCATTTATGAACTGAGATGAGGACCATGCTTTTGAGCTTTAATATTTAAAAATACATAGTTTCTAGTTCTGGCTTTGTGATTATTTCTGTGATTTAAGGCCAACAGTACACTCTGGGTCACACTTTTGTCCCCTTTTCAAATGTCAAGTGTATTGTGTGTACATTAAAAAAACAAACCTGGAAAGAGGTTGAGGTGGTCATTATTTGTACCAATAACCAATAATAACCAAATTTAAAATTTAACTGAAGTTTTTAAATAGGATACATTTCAGTAAACTAGCTTTGGCAGAAATGGAACAGAGGTTATCTGTGAAAACTGACTAAATTGGGGTATGAGTTAAATGTTAAATAAGAGCAGATCAGAAGTTTGAAAAAGTAACCAGTGTTATAATAGCAGAACCATGAAAGATGATAACACTATTAATTTAGAAGCTGTTTGGAAGATAATTATTTCAGTTTTTATTAATTTTCAGTATTTTCAGTTTTGGGGGAAAATTTGGACTTTTGTTTTATATTTAAAACTTTATTCTTTTGTACTTGATAGGGCTCGGGATTTATAAATGTGTTGATCAACTTGATTTTTGTTTATAGGCCAAATTTTAATAGAACAAACAGCCCAGGCTTCCAGAAGAAGGTTCAGTTTGGAAATGAAAATACCAAACTTGAACTTAGAAAAGTTCCTCCAGAATTAAATAATATCAGCAAACTTAATGAACATTTTAGTCGATTTGGAACATTGGTTAACTTACAGGTAAGAGCTGTAAAATGATTCTCTTGTCCCTGCTTAATTATTTAGGGACCTTAATAAGAAAACCACTTTTATAAAGCAATATTATGGAAATTTGTTAATATTCTAAAGTTGGCATTATAATAGTCTGTTTTCAGTTACTGTAGTGAAATACCTGATGCAGGCTAACAAAAGAAGCATATTTAGCTCTTAGTTTTGGGGGCCGAAAGATCAGGTAGTGCCATTGGCTTGTCCTCTAATGAGGGCCTAAGGGTGGATGGTATTACGAAATGGGAATACATGTGAGAAGTGATTACATCTCAAAACAAGAAGTGATGCAGTCGTGCTTGCTATTGTGAGAGCTCAGAGATCTAAACAAATTCCTTCAGTCGTGCTTGCTATTGTGAGAGCTCAGAGATCTAAACAAATTCCTTAACCCTTCTAAGTGCTGTTTCCTTGATAACCTAAAGAACTCCCATAAGGCCCCACTTCTTAAAGGTTTACACTATGTCCCAACATCATTACACGAAGAATATAGGCTTCTAACACATGAATGCTTAAAGGGACACACACATCCCATATCCATACTATAGCAGACATGAAATGAAACTACCTTTTAGGGAAAAAAAATGATTGATTGATTGATAAGTTCTTGATTTATACACCGAGTTATATCTCCTGCCCTTTTGGACTTTTTATTTTGAGATATGGCCTCACTGAGTTAAGTTCCTCAGTCTCCTTCGTTGCTGGAGGGCAAGAGTTTTGATTGATAATATTAGTATAAATATTTTACCTAATAAAGGATGACACAAAGTTAAATAATCACTCTAGTAAAATATAATATAGTAGTTTTCAGTTCCTGAGTTTTTCAAGATCATATTGTCAGAATCATTTCAGTAAAATCATTTGAGCAGTCAAATATATTTCTGTAATTTCTGTGATTGGATGCACTTAACAGTTAATTTTGGGAACCAATGTCATGTAAAAATACATAGTTTCTAGTTCTGGCTTTGTGATTATTTCTGTGATTTAAGGCCAGCAGTACACTCTGGGTCACACTTTTTGTCCCCTTTTCTCTACCACTTTTGAACATTCTTTAAGAAAAACACAATATAAGTTATGTTTGATGTCACTTAAAATTTGTCCTTGGGTATATAAAACTTGGGAGATTTTTAAATATTATTTAAATTATGTGACATGTTGAAAGTGTTGTTTTCCCCCTTATGCCTACTTTTCAACTAAATTAATTGTTTTATAATCTAATAAAATCAATTTTAGAGGATATAGCTCATTCTGAGTTGATCTTTAGAAACTTTTCTTTTATAAAGCACAGGTATAAAAGTAATGGAGGGGAAAAATGCATGTTTAGAGTAGAGCAATAGAAATGAATGGAGAATTTTAAGGAAATGTTTTCTTTTCAACTTGATGTTTTCCACACATTTCTCTACCCATATAAAATAATATAATTGTTATAATTTATCATTTGTTGTCCTAGATTGTTTTTATATACTTATTGCTGTGTACATGCAAAAATTTTAAAAATGTTYATGGGTCCATAGCATGTATATTACCCTGTAGTTATTTATAGTTATTTACTTACTGTGGAATATCTCAGTATCTTTTTATGGCAGTTCAGTTTACTCTACCACATTTATATCTAGATATAAAAAAGTTTTCAGAATATTCCTATTTTCATACAAACWTCTGTGCTTGAATGCATTTAACAGATAATTTTGAGATATACAAAATTAACTACACTGGTAATATTAATTTAAAAATTGTTTCAAAGCAAAACATGGTATCTCCCTATTGTTTCTGTTTGTATTTATGTAATTACTAATGAGGTTAATATCTTATTTTTGTTGGTCCTTTCCTGTGTCTTCATAGTACTTGCATTATTATGATTCACAAAATACATGTTTTGCAAAATCATTAAAAGTACCCTTGTTATCATAATAAAAATTGATGTTATTCTAATAAATAACATTATAAAAATATTATTTTTATAGTTTTAGCTAATATTTATTGAATATGTATTCTCTTTTTATGTGTTATTGCTGTATTCTTAAAACAACACTAATAAGTGGGTATTGTTATTCTTATTTATAGAAGAGGACACTGAGGCACAGAAAGATTAAGTGACTTCCTTGCTCTTATGTGAGAGTCAATTTCAGGATTTGAGCCAGGCAATGAGATTCAGACCAAGCTGTTAATCTCGATCCTTTACTGCTGTTGCCTGTGGCTTATATACCACACTTTYGAAAACACTGCTATTACGCAAGAATAGGAAATTGGGAGTGAAAATCTTGGATTTTTTTTTTAATTAGTTGTATGAGTCTATCTCTAGAAACATTCTTTGAATCTGTTTCCTATGTGTCAAATGTGATTGATGGTGCTGTTATATAGGTCTTTTTATTTTCTTCTGATCTTAGAAATATTGTGAAAATTACAGATTTAAAATATTGTACAGATTTTTTTTCTATGATATTTAGTTGGAAATCACCCCTTCCAAAGTAGTCTTTGCCATCACATTCATTGATGTACAGAATTTTTTTCTCTTGGTCTGTATTAAAATTTGAGGTAAAAAGAAATAGTTTAAAGGTCTGTATATAATATTTGTGCAGTCAGCTTTGCTGGTAAACAAGAGTCTCTTTTAATGCACTAACAATCCTTGGCTATTTACTATTTCTCCTGAAATAAAAGTAGACTATGGTCATACTTTAAATATAAAGTATCCTACTTGGAAGGAAAAGTGTATGACATCCTGAGGAATTTTGCTGTATGAAGAAACCGATTCCTTTAGAAATTCACTTTTCTTAACATTTTAAATCATAGGTTGCATATAATGGTGATCCTGAAGGTGCCCTTATCCAATTTGCAACATATGAAGAAGCAAAGAAAGCAATATCGAGTACAGAAGCAGTTTTAAATAATCGCTTTATTAAGGTTTATTGGCACAGAGAAGGAAGCACCCAGCAGTTACAAACTACTTCTCCAAAGGTAACGAGAGAGATTTGTGTGAAATTGAATGCTTTTTTCCAAGAGTTCTTAGTATATTGTCTAAGAACAGAGATATATATATATATGAATCAGGGGGGACTTGAGTTGAGATCCTGACTTTACTACTGTTAACTATATAGACTAAAGAAAGTTACTTAATCACTCTAGCCTATTCTCTCATTTAATTGTGAAGTTAATTCCTAGTTTAGAGAACGAGATGGAACAGTCCTGGCAGATAGGTGGCACTAAGTAAATTGTAGCTATATATGTATTCCATAAATTTTCTTTCTGTAGTTTATAAGTCATTTCATGGAAAAAAATGTGCATGCATAAAGAAAATTGAAAGGCATTTGAGTTTTGATAATAAGYTACATTTTTAAAACTTATTATGCATGGATAATCTAGTACAGTTTTATAACAAAGTTTTACTTTCCAAGCTCCTGAACTAATCAGCTTGTTTAAAATTTTTTTTCTCCTTCTGAGGTAATGCCACCTTTAGTCCAGCAGCCCATTTTGCCTGTTGTGAAGCAGTCAGTTAAAGAGCGACTGGGCCCGGTACCTTCAACTACTGTTGAACCAGCAGAAGCCCAGAGTGCTAGTTCAGACCTTCCTCAGGTAAATGGAAGGTCTTATCTATCAAATATAAATCTATTATTTACTAATAAATTATCTATTATAATATTAGATWAACTAGTAAATTAGTTTCCCTCGGTGACTTGCATTATAGTTACTATATATGTTTTACACAGAAATGTGATCTTTACAGATTAGAATCCCACCTATAAGTTTTTATCATAACATTTTCACTGTCTTTATTTTTCTATTTGGTATTTGTATCTTAAATTCTTCTCTTTATTTAACACTTGTTGATTAGAAAGATTTCTTTTTCACTTTGTGAAGGATATATTACTGCAAAACTGCCTGAAGAGTGAAATTTAGTACACTTAATCTTATTTTTTCCATCATCTTTTTACTTAATTAGAATCCTGTTCCAGAGATAATTGTATTGAACTGAAAACTTTTGGGAAGGGAAGGCTTTTAATACCTCAGGTTAAGTATGCTTGATATACTGTTTGACATACTAAAGCAGGTCACTCAAAACTTTGCATCACTTAATCCTGACTTTGGGATACTCTTCTCCGTATATCATTTCCTTGCCACTTCCTTAAGTGGAATTTTCTTGTTTCTGTATTCTCAGTCTATGAAACTTAGCTTTCCTTTTTCTCCATGTTTTAGGATTTGCTATATAAATAGAGTTAGGATGTGGTATCCTACTTAGCTAATAGATGACATCTTTTAGCTAAGTATGGGACACACATTTTTAAGCTTTAGAAGCAGGCATACGTTTTCATTATCCAAATCTAATTTAAAATGTGCTTTCTACTTGTTAACATAGGGAACCCTATCAGTGGAAGGGACTTCAGTAACCACCTGGTTCAGACTTCATTATTTTACATCATAATTTTTCATGATTAATATTGTATACTGTTTACTTTTGRTTTTCTACGCATATTTTTCCCTCCACCCCCCCCTTTAAATAGGCCTCAGTTTCTATGATTAGTATCTGTATACTCATAGACTCAGTATGTATTACAACCAGAATGTTCAAGATCCCAACAGACTTATATATGTTTGGGGAAACACTGAATATGTCCATTTTAATTTTTTTAGAATGTAACTAAGTTATCTGTGAAGGACAGGTTGGGTTTTGTATCAAAGCCATCTGTTTCAGCAACTGAAAAGGTAAGAAGAATAGCATGATGTGTTTGTCTTGGCTTTGTAAATGTTTTCAGGTGGCATCTTAATTTTTAATTTTTTCATAGTTCCAAACTGCTTCTTAATAGTATCTGTATCTTTTATTCCTACCTTTTTGCTTTCCATTTGCTGAAAATGAAAAATTAGCCTACTGTTTTTTTACTTTTTGCATCAGCATTTTAATACTTGCCTCTCTATTTCCATCTGCTCCATTCTTTTTGTTAGTTTTTTCTTTATATTTATTTTCTTTAGAGACACGATACATTTTAGTTAAACTCTGGCRGCCTTATAGTAAGAGCCATGAACTAGGAATTTTACCTGAGTTTGAACCTTGGCTCTTTACTTACTAACTGCATGATGTTGGGCAGTGCTCTTAACCTTTCTCAATCTTTTTACTCATTGGTAAAATGGTGATGGTAATATTCRTCTTGCTCACCGGGTTTTCTGAGGATTAAATAAAATCTTTATTTAAAACTATTTTGTAAACAGGAAGGGATGAGGGATGGCATAATTGTAATTTTTTAAAGTTTATTACGAACAGCTATTAATATAGCCTTGCAATACATTAGTTCTTTTTTTTTTTTTTTTTTTTTGAATGAGGAGTTAAATGCAGATTATGTTAAGACCATTTATGGATCTGTCTGCTGTAGATATATATTTTTTTCTGTTTAGGTATGAGTGAATGCCCTGGTCTTTATTTTATTTGAGGTATGTGAAATCTCATAATATTAGAATTGAATAGTCCTAAGTCCCCAGTAGACCAAGGCACAATGGTTGTATAGTTTGATCTAGTTGCTGAGCCAGACTAGAATTTGTGTCTCCTATTTCTAGTCCATGGCTCTTTCCATTCTGAAGATTACAAAGGAAATTCACATCAAAGGTAAATAAAAACATCCAGTAAGGTAAACAAAACATCCAGTGAGATAGCTAACCTGCTGTCATCACTTATTCTTAAGTATACTATTTCCCACATTTACTTTGTTAAACTTAAATCTGATTATCATTCTATACATCAGACCTTCCTCTTGGGCATCTCACTGTTATTTCAGGTATAACATGCCTAAAATGAACTATTTCCCATATAAATTAACTTCTCCTACTCCCTACTTAGGTGATACTTCCATTTTCTAAACTGTGTAGTCTAAACTCCTCAAAACTCATGTAATCGTATTTGTAGTTCATTTCTTTTTCTCTTCTCTACAGAGTCCCTGACCTCTAATGGTAGTGTCTGAGCTGGCATCTTGAAATTTCCCTTCTTTATTTACATGTGTCACCATTCTGTTGTCAGACTTAATGTTAATTCATTATAGAAACTTTGAATTTCTCAGCAAAATTACTTGATTTACAGCTCATCCATATTTCAGTTATTGTGGTTCTGTTTTGCGCTAGGGTTTCCTTTCTACACTGGGGAATACTTTTCTACTTACCTTGCCCTTTTCTGCCTCCCTGCTCCCCCGTCCCCTTTTTGGTGGTAATTTTTCTGGATTACATTTCCCCCTTTCTAATTAAGTTCTATTCGTTCTTTAGAGATTAAAAATCTCTTSTAACATTTTCCATGAAACCACCATGTGGTGTATCTCCTCTCCATTTTTGTGTATTTTAGTCTATGCTATTAATGTTTACTTTGATTAGATTTATCCTGGCTTCATAATAAGTATATTAGGAATTGAAAAGAACACACTGTAAGATCTGCTATACTTGTTTATTGATGAGCAATTCTGGAGGCATTTAAATGCCCAGTTGTATTCAGGATCTGTTTATATCAAGATTTAGACTCTGGAATTGAAGTTTATACTAAGCTTTCACAAAATTTTAGTATTGTGCTTTGATGTGGTTTTCTTTATTTTTTAAGGTCTTTCATTTAGCAGTAGAATAAAGTTTGGGTTTGAGAGTATATATTAATATATATTATACTAATATAGTAACCACTAATTGAATTTGTAAAAAAAAAAAACAACACTATTGAGAATAGGCTATTTGTGGAAAAAATTATTAATAACAAAAATCTTAAGGAAAACAGTTACTTAAAAGAATGTAACATATATAGTCATCTTCAGTGAATGTATTTACAGAATAACATTTTATTTTTACGTATTCTTGGTTGTTTCTGTTCTACCCAATAGAGGGTTTTGGTTCAGAATCCTTAGAGGGCAAAGATCCAGAGAATCTTAGGAAGATGAAGAATGTTTCCCATCATCGAATATTATTTTAAAGGTTTTAATTTCTTTTTCCTAAATTGAAATCAGGAGAAAGTTCAAAGCTAGTATCTGTACAATATCTTCTGTCATTGTTAAAGTGAATGAATATATAAATGAAACTCTTACAACTTTCTTGTAAATGATAACCATTAATCCTTTAGTAATTGTTATTTATTCTAARATTACATTTTTGTGAGAAGGCTGGGAGAGAGGAAACTTAAACCTAATTGATAAAGATATTGCAATTGGTATTAAGTATTATTTGAGTAGACTTGATCATTGAAGTGATGTTTGAGTGTTTCTGCTTAGTCTACAGAGACTTATGAAGAATAAAGGTTGGTGGGTGTTTATACCATCCTTGTTAGTTTTTTTTTAACTTAAAGTGTTCAAATTAAAGTTTTAGATATTAAATTTATGATACCAAGTTTAGTAGTATATTTTTTAGTCAAAAAATAAGTCTTGATCCCTTTGTATTGTGATACATTAACATTAGTATCAAGGAAAATTGTCTAGTATAATTGAAAGAACATTGCAAGAGTTCAGCTGTTGATTTAGTAACTGGCATTATATGTGATGGTGAAAAAGTTTTATTCTGTATGCCTAACTATAAAATTCAGTTGTTTTCATGACCCTTCGATTTATTCATTCATTCATTCATTCATTCGTTTTTTGTGCTGGGGATTGAACCCAGGTGTGCCTAACCATGGAGCCACATCCCCATCCCTTTTTAAATGTTTTTTTTTTTTTTAGAGACAGGGTCTTGCTGAGTTGCTAAGTGCCTTGCTAAATTGCTGAGGCTGTCTTTGAACTTGCGATYCTCCTGCCTCAGCCTCCTGAGCCTCTGGGATTACAGGTGTGCGCCACTGTGCCTGGTGACCCTTTGATTTTTAAATTTGATTATTTTTAATATAGTTTTCCTACTTTAAGTGAAAAGATTAGGGAGATTTATGTTTTGTTGTTTTTTTTCCTTTCATAACCATTACTGGCCATTTTTAATTTTAATTTTTTAGTGCATCATCCTTTTTAGGATAATTACCTGGATTATTTTTTCTTACAGGAAAATATGATTTATTTGGAAATATTTGCAGAACTTTCTGGGAAATAAGCTATTGTAGCAAAAATCGACTATTGACTATATACATTTTTTTCTTTGATATTTATTAAAGTACTTCCTTGTAAAATTGTTAAGCCTTTTGCTTCTTTTAATCCTTTTGATATATGGGATATAAAATAGTTGAACTCAAAAAGGGTGGTGATTTACCTTGGAGTTGGGAGTTGGGGAGATGTTGGTCAAAGGATATAAAATGTCAGATAGGATGAGTAAGTTCAAAAGATAAGTATAACATAGTGATTGTAGTTAACTGTATTATATTCAAATTGCTGAGAATTAGATTTTAAATGTTCTTATTGCAAAATATGTAAGCAATGCARTTAGCTCAATTGAGCCACTTTACAAGATACATATTTTTAAAAATGTACACAATGTATGTATTYAGTGTTTGTCAATTAAAAATAACTTTAAAAATATTAAAGAAGAGTATTTGAGGAAAGCATCTGGGAACATGGCATTCAGGAAGCAGAGCTCCACTCTCCAAGGACAAAATATATACTCCAAAGGACACCCCCAGTGATCCAGCCTACTTGCTTGCAGTTACCACCCAGTTAATAGTTATTGGGATTAACACACTGATTGAGTTAAGGGTCTTGTAACCCAATTATTCCACTTCTATATGTCTCACACATGAGCTTTTAGGGCATACTTAATACTTTATGTCTAAACCATAACAGTGTGATTGTTTGGAAAGGCCATTATTTATGATTTTATCTTTTGAAAATATAGATATCTTACTATCTAAACTCTAGATTCAAATAGATTCAGTTAGGGAACCGTGTTTATAATCATAATTCATTATTTCTGTGCCACATTTTTTACCTTTTAATACCTCTGCTATTGGGTTGCACTTTACAGTTTTTTAGTGATATATGATAGTAGAAAGCACTTTACCTCATATATCTTAGAGTGCTTGAGTCTTGTGCTCATTGAAATACATTTTCAGATATCATATTTTTAGAGAAGGAAGTTACTGGATGAAACAAAGCAATTAGGACTGCTTCTAGGTAAATAAGAAGATTCCTTTATTAGTAGTCTTCTGGTTCTTGTCAGATACTTTTATTCACTTTGAAGCAACACTCTTTAGTCTGATATCATATGGTAAGGACACTTTGAAAAGAAGTATTTCCTGTTCACTGAAGTTAAAGAAATGCTAGATAAAATTTATTACATGGATTTCCTTGCTTTGAGGTTTCTCACTGGTTTTGGCATGAGGTGAACATTTGACCCTAGAAAATGAGGTTATGATATTCAATGTTTCCAATTTACTTAGAAATCTTTGGTCACAACTTTTCAACTTGTTATGTATTCTTCATAAAGAAAGAAAGATATACTTGATTAGACTCTGTTTTCAGCATATTATCTTATGTTTCTCCCCTTACCAAGTTATTGTCTCTCCTTTGTATAATCAGGGAGTTTGGCATTGTTTGGTGTGGTAAGATAGCAGGGAAGAAATTTTTCTCCAAAGTTATAGAGAATGGTCATCAAAGTTAGACTACAAACTAAAGAGGTTAACTCTGTTTTATGTTCTTTTGTAACATCTGAGTATTAGTTTTAATGATTGAAGAAAATTATGATCAGGTTTTGGTATATCAAACATTAAGAATTTTAATTGACAAAAATTATGCTATATAGAGTTAGAGTAATTATATCTCATTTTTATTTGAAAGGCTTATTAGACTTTCTTATACACTTAGAATAGTGATGAGTTTCTAATCTTTATGATAAAAGATTAGAAAATGGTCTCCAGTTTGCTGCTACTCCTCTGATATACCCACATGTTAATGTTTTGGTAGCTAAAAAGTAGGATGATTTTTCTCAGTGATACTCTTCCCTTTGAGTATATGGCTTAATCTTTTTTAGGTCATGAATTCCTTTAAGACTTTAAAATAAGCAATATTTTTTCCTCTGGAAACTTACAGTGTTCACACACTTGGTTTTATGTTTATTTTTTGTAGCAGTTGTAGATCTACCTGAGGAGATCCCTAGGCTCTTTCCTTAGAACCACCCCAGGGAACTTTTAACTGTTTTGCTTTTGAAAGAAAGAAATATGTAGCCTAAACAATCTTATTATTTTGAATTAACCCTGTTGTGGAAAAGGTTGTGCTCTTTGACCTATGTCAGTTTAGTTGGGTGCAAAAATGTTTTGAGTATTTACCATGTGCCCTGGCACTGTTGTGATAATGTCTGTATCTATAAGATATAGCAATATACCAAGAAAAAAAATTCCTCTTCAAGGAGAAAATTTTGAGATTTGTAAAGACTTTAGATACGATCAAATTGAACCTTTTCATTTTATAAATGAGTGCACTAAGGCCCCAAAAGGTGTCTCATCTTAGCCATGGTCAGCCTCACCATTCATGAGTTGATGAGTAAGACTTAGGTACTACAGGGACAAAGAGGAGAAAGACATGATATTTGTTTCAAGGCCTTTACAGTATAGACTAGAAGAAAGACACATCAACATATTATCAAGTCATTTTTACTGAGTCCAATGCTAAGTAAAAGTAGCTTGTAGTATTTTTACCTGATAGCTGGAGGTATAAAATTTCATATAAAGAGAAATGATCAGGACTTTTTGAATGTCTTGATTGTGTTATGCTGAACCTAAATTGTGTTTAAAGAGAATAAGTTTAAGCAGAGAGAATATTGCTAGCAAAGAAATGGAGAATGAATACATTTATTTCAGAGCTGCAAATTGCAAATGATTGTGTTAAATTGTTGATGAACAACATAAGGTTTTCTTCCTGTGCCATGCTTTTGTGTTATTTTTGCTTTAATCACTATAGATAGTAGTTAATGTATTCTGCAATTAGTATTTTCTGAGCAATATGGTAATGGCAGTGGTTGTTCTTGATTTGATATTTTTGTATGTTTGTCTTGCCCTAGAAGTATTTGGTAATTTGAAAATATTTTTATTTAGGGCTTATTCTTCATTCATACTCTTCCTTTCAGATCATCAAATGTGATTTAGTTATTATAAGTATATAATGCATCTAGTTTAATTTTGCTACATTTTATTAAAATTAAAGCTGAGTTTCATAGAGGGTAGAACCTAGGAAATTATTAAAGATTTATACTTTTTTTTTAAGAAATTGAATTTGTATCGGTAGGTATTGTCTACATCTACTGGCCTAACAAAAACGGTGTATAATCCAGCTGCTTTGAAGGCTGCACAAAAAGCCTTACTTGTTTCCACCCCTGCAGTTGATAATAATGAAGCACAGAAAAAAAAACAGGTAAGTACATCTAGTATAGTGAATAAAATTTGCATATAAGAAAAGTGTCACAAAATAATATTAAAAGATGTATGTTGGCTGTGGCTGAACTTCTGTGTTCTATAGTRTAGCAGTGAATATTAAATTGTCTCTTAATAGAAGGTTCCTGATTGATCTTTTTTTAATATATTTATTTATTTTTTTTAGTCATAGTTGGACACAATACCTTCATTCCATTCATTTATTTATATGTGGTGCTGAGGATCGAACACAGGGCCCTGCGCATGCTAGGCGAGCACTCTACCGCTAAGCTACAATCTTTGAAATTTGCACATAGAAGTTTTACATAGCCAAATTTTGCATATAATTTTTGTTTCCAATCTTTTGCAATTATAAACACTTTTCTCCTCTTGAGTTATTTTATCACGTTAATAATRTTCTAATGATATCTTTGATACCTGACTCTAGGAGGCACTGAAACTGCAGCAGGACGTCAGGAAAAGGAAACAAGAAATTTTAGAAAAGCACATTGAAACACAGAAGGTAAAATGCTAAAGTTAGATTTGGTAAAATGTATTTACAAATGTTATGTTTTTTTGTGAATTTTATCTTAATACTATTTAACTAGTCCTGAGAAACAGATTATCATTGTTAATGATAAAAATGAAATAGCTGTAATGATTTTGTCCCATGAATATTATTAATAGTTTGTGTTGAGAATGAAGAGTAGACATTGAAAGATGGGTGTGGGTTAAACAGAACCATGGTTATCAACATGAAGTTAAAACAATATAGTATTCATTCATCTGTGTTACTACACAGTAGGTTGATCAAAAGTTAATGAAATGAAAGCTTTATTTCAATGTTGATTTGTACCTCCTTTTACTGGCTTGGGATCTCTTAGTCCTGTGTTGTGTTGTGCAGTAGCCACATCTAACAATTGAGTGTAATCTAAGTGTAGAATACACATCAAATTTCAAAGATGTAGAAGAAAAAAATTTGATAATGTCTCTAAATTTTTACCGAAATTTACCATTTTGGATGTATTAGATTAAATGTTATTGAATTCATTTTGCTCATTTTTGGGGGTAGTTTTTCTCTGATTTGTAACATTTATTTAGTGTCAGTTCTTGATTATGTGTAGGTTGATATAGGACATTTGAAAATATAGAAACCACATTTTAATTAGAAATGTATGTCTTTACTAATTTAAGTTTGGGTATACCTTATAAAGAGAAATCACAGTGCTTTACATTAAAAACTAAAGCCATCTTAACTCATAGAACTTGCAATACTATGTGGTTTCTTTCACCCCATGTTATTTTGCTTGTCTTCTTATTTCCTTTCCATGTTAAGGATATCATTCTCAGGGTAACTGATTATTGTTCCCTATGGCAAAGAAAAGTAATTGTACGTTGTACCTAGTTTTTCTATATATGAAAGGGGCCATATTATACATTTTCTGCCCCCCCCCCAGCTCGCCGACTATATTTAGAGTGAGAATATTTGAAGAAGCATAATAACAAATGAATGAGAAAATGAAATTTATACTATCTATTTCAAGTTGAAAACTTTTCCGGGATTTGAATTAAATTTTTTTTTTTGGTTGTATGCTTTGAACATATGTTTTAAGAGAGCCAAACAGTAATAAATTTCTTTACAAGGTAAACCAGTAGTAAGACTTGAATGGAGATACAGTTAGCATCACCAAATCATTCTTTAGATACTTGGTAGTTGTTAGCTTAGTCATGAATACTAAATTAAGAATAGTAGTATTTATTTTTATATTTACTTTGCTGTATTTGTTTACAAATAGTAGTAGGAGCAAATATTCTAAGATTTTTCTGTTTAAAAATTTGGCAGATGTTAATTTCAAAGTTAGAGAAAAATAAAGCAATGAAGTCTGAAGATAAAGCAGAAATAATGAAGACTTTAGAGGTTTTGACAAAAAATATTACCAAGTTGAAAGATGAGGTGAAAGCTACTTCTCCTGGACGTTGTCTTCCAAAAAGTATAAAAACCAAGACTCAGGTATTTAATTTGTATGTACTATTCATATTACTGTTTATTAAAAAACATTAAACATATCAAGATTCTGTTTTATTTTTAGGTACTGTCCGTTGTTCAGAATCTATCTGATCATTATATGTAACATTCTCTCCCACCCCACCAATAATAAGTAAATAAATACAAATAAGTAAACTCAACTGATCTTTTGAATCCTTTGGCATTTTAGTTGGAAAGTCAGTAATTAGGAAAATAATTATGGAAAAGTTAGCTTGAGGACAAAATAATATATTTACTTGATTGATTGACTAAGGAGTTTGAGTTTTATATTATAAGTAGTTGGTGATATAAAAGGTTAATGACAGAGAAGTAACATTCTGTCAGTACCATACAGAATGGATTGATTGGAAAGGGGAAAATTCAGTGAGCAAGATTTGATTAAAGTATTTATATTTGGTATGTGTGTAGTATATATGTGTCTACAATCATCATACTGGTATTTCTAATCCAACACCACATGGTTCTCTTTTTCATTTTCTATATTTTATCCCCTATTTCTATAGTAATGACTTGGTGTTATTATACTAATTTAATGTTCATTGACAATTCTGAATCTGTAATACATTCAAAACAGTTCCAAAATTGTTACAACAATAATACTTCCAACAACTAACTTAATTAATATAATTTTGAATATGTTTGCTTTCTTTGCAAAATCTATGTATTCTACTCAGGGTAGCATTAGAAGTATGGTCTAGTTTACTTTTCTTCCTTGTATATACTGTGTTGTGAATTTGACAGGTTTATTTCTGATTTTATTTAGTTTTGGATCCCCTCTCCCTGGCCCTATTCTTKTTGATTTAGTATTATTTTTTAACAAGTAAACGAGTGACATTGTTCAGAAGCCAGACTGCATAGAAAGGTACACATAGAAGACCCATTCCTAGCAATATCATTCATTTCTGGTTTATTCTTCTAACACATAAAATACACACCTCTACCCCTACATGTATGTGTTTGTGTCTAAAACACCCAAACGTGTGTGTGTGTGTGTGTGTGTGTGTGTGTGTGTGTGTATTCATTCTTACCTACATAAAAGCATACTATATATTGTTTATTAGCACCTTGACTTTTTTTGTTGTTGTTGTTTTACAGTTACTTTCTGAAAATACTATATATCAATCCATAGAAATCTCACTCTGGCTGTAGTACAGAAAGTTAATTGTAGGGAAATTTGTAAAATTAGCAACAAGTGAGGAAACCCTTGCAGTATTTTTAACCAGAGGTGGTCCATGGCTTGGACTGGAATATTAGTAATAGAGACAGGAAAGAAATGTATGGATTAAATGGAAAATATGTAGAAGTTCATTGTTTGTTTTTTTTTAAAGTTTAGTATACATGCAGGATATTAGTTATTATTAACTAAAAATATTTATTTTTTTAGATGCAGAAAGAATTACTTGACACAGAATTGGATTTATATAAGAAGATGCAAGCTGGGGAAGAAGTCACTGAACTTAGGAGAAAGTATACAGAATTACAGCTGGAAGTATGTTTTATCACAGCTACACAGTATACTTAAAATAAGCAGATGTAGTTGTAGTGGTTAACTGAAAATAATATGTCCTTCATCTAGTCAACAAATATTGACTGCCATATGTGTTGGTATATTAAAATGGAGAGGAAAGAGGACAACAGGTTTTTTCAAAACTATTATAGAAAAATGTTATTTAATGAAGTGAGGCAGTGGTTCTACCTATATGCTCAGATTTCTTCATTTCTAGTGAATTTTATTTCTTTTTGGTCTTTCTTTTTCCCTAGGACTAAGAACTATTAAAGGCTTTTCAGACATTCTTGTGGAGATATTCTTTTATATATAGGCATATTAACTTGCTCTAAAGGTCCTACTTCTAGTGGTAGAACTGTACTGAAAAACATGCTTGCTTAAGTTTTGCCTATAGATGGTGCTGTGGATGTTTTAAAAGAGAAAATAAACCACTTTCTTGTAATAAAGTTACATAGGGTTATTTTTTGGAGTGGGGGCTACTGGGGATTAAACCCAGGGCCTTGCACATGCTGGGCAAGCACTCTACCACTGAGCTGCATCCTCAGCCCAATTATATGGTTTGTTTTGAAAAACCCCTAGCAAAATTGATCGCAATTATATGACATAATAAGTTTTAATATTTTCCCCAGAAATGTTTAAAAACTAGAATTACATTCTAATGTATGGAAAGAGTCATTAATATGTTATTTACAGGTTTATTTTCATCATTTGACAGTTTAAATTTTTCTTSTTTTAGATTATTTTGATTAATCTGAGTATAATGCTGTTTTCAGTTTCTTGGCAGTGTCGTCACTTTTGTTTATATTTGTTTCAGTGTAGTAGAAATCTATTGAGTACTACTGTGTAGGTATTAAAGACTTACAGCAGCTACCAGAATTGTCTTAAAAGCCATATTTTGTCAAGAGTTAGAGGAAACTATAGAATTGTTTTAAACATGCAGACATTTGCATTCTCTAGGGACTTGATCATGTCCTACCCAGGATAATTTTAAATATGTTAAAATTATTATATGTTATAGAAATTGTGTTGTCCCCTTTCATGCTAATGTTGGTGGCATGAATGTATTAACCTGACTATATGGTTTCTTAGAGGCTTTTAATTTGTGAATCTTGAAATACAATTAAAAATTCATGTTTACTCAAATTTATTTTTCAAGGAGCATCTTGAGATGTATTCCTTGGAGCATACTTTAGGATATTGCTGTAACATCTATCACCTCGCATACTTTTTTTAGGAAAATAGAACATTTAAAATCTGTTCTTAGAAGTATATAATACATTATCATCAATTATAGTCACCATGCTGTGCAAGATACTCAAAACAGCTTCTTCTTGTCTAACTGAAACTTTGTACCCTTTGATCAACATCTCCCCATTCTCCATGCCACTACAGGCTTTGGTTAACCATGGTTCTGCTTTTATGAGTTTGTGGGGTTTTTTTAGATGCTATATATAAATGAAATTATACTATATTTGTCTTTCTATGCATGACTTACTTACATCACTTAACATTATTATTTGGATTTTAGATGATTATTTTGGCTAATGTTAAGATTAACTGCCTTGAGATGAAGAAACTAAAATATTTACACTAATAGAGGTTTGACAGTTGTGCCTGCTTGTCATTTCCATTTGGATGTCTAATATCCTCATCAGTAAATTCAGAATTGTGCTTTTCTTGCTCCTAAACCCCATTTATACAGTTACCCAAATTAGAAGTATAGGAGTCTTTATTGATTCCTCCCTTTCCTTCAATGTCCATATCCATTTAATTATCCAGTTTTACTTCCATATTTAAATGTTTATTCTTCTCTCTCTTCCTTGCTGATCCTACTATAGTGACATACTTATTTCCCAGCTCATTCTTTCTTCTACTGTATTCCTAAAAATCTAGCTATAATTTCATTTTTAATGCTGAATTGATTACATTACTCTATTTTACTGCTTAAATTCTTAATAGATTTTTATGGTCTGAGATAAAAATAAAACTCCTTAACCTGATCCCTAATTCAGCTGATCCTGATCCCTAAATGCAGCTGCACTGAATTTTATCTATTTGGAAAACAGTGTTCCTTTCAGCTTTGGTGCCTTTTCTTATATTGAATCTCCTGTGTTGCACTTGCATTTTTTTTTTTTGATTCATTGAGCAAATATTAAGTACAATCTGCCAGCTACTGTTGAAGGTGCTGAGGATAAAGCAGGGAATTAAAAATCACCTTCAAGAAACTTCATCATAGGTGGTTGCTCACTGCAGATCTTTAAAGTTCTGTTCAAATATTTAAAGTACTTCATCACTTTTTAAGTCACTTTTCATTAATATAACTAGATAACTTAGTTGTTTGATGTCTCTTTATCCCTCTTAAGTTTTGAGCTTGTTGAGGATAAGGACTTGCATAGTGCAAGTGGTTGGTAAATATTTCTGGAATGAAGAAATAATACAGTACTCATACAGAGTGTTATGGTAGAATATTAATTAGTATAATACCTTGGCCCTATAATGATGTCAGTAATAAGTGATCAAAATTATGATTTTGAGATAACTATACCTAACTGATCCGTTAGTAATTGACCCATTGAGACAACAGGTTAAGAAATAGAATGTTATATTGAAAATGTATTTATTGTGTATGTGGATATTATGTGTCTGTGTATTAACCTGACTTTTGAAGTAATCTTCAACACTGTATGCCATTTAAGAAATCCCAAATTGCTGATCTTTTTGTACCATATCATGACAGTTTAGCAAGAATTTAGTAAAAAGAGGCACATTTAGTAATTTCAGAACCTTTAATATTATTTTGTTATCTAAATTCACTTACTACCCTAAAAGTTTCAATTTAAAACCCTAATTTAAATTATGTGATCCTTTTATAGGACATTATTTGAATATGATGTCAAGTTACATAAAAGTTTGGCTCATCTGCCAGAGTATAATACTTGGCTTATGTTAAGACAGGTTGAGTGTTTCTAATCTGAAACCCCAAATGCTCCAAAATGGAAAGTTTTGGATTTGTGTTAGTCTATGCAAATATTTCAAAATTTGATAAACTCTGAAATCTGAAATGTTTTTGATCCCAGACATTTTAGATAAAACATATTCAATGTGTTCCGACTGCATTGTTTAACCTGAGCGTCTGATCTCTTGTAGGCTGCAAAACGAGGGATTCTTTCATCTGGTCGGGGTAGAGGAATTCATTCAAGAGGTCGAGGTGCCACTCATGGCCGAGGCAGGGGTCGAGGTCGCGGACGAGGTGTGCCTGGTCATGCTGTGGTGGATCATCGTCCAAGAGCATTGGAGATTTCAGCATTTACAGAGAGTGATAGAGAAGATCTTCTTCCTCATTTTGCGGTACTATTTTACTACCCAAGAGAACAGTTACTGATAATTATCATTGTAGATAATCGATAAAATTAAATAAAAAATTATGAAAATGACATGACTAATTTAAAGTAGTTGATCTGAACAAGGATTTGATTAAGTCCATAATACTTTTGTTAATTATTTATAAAATGGGAACTCTAGTATTTTTAAATTATCTTGAAGGAATGTTAAAATTCTTACATTAGGAGGACTTCAGGTGTTATGAAATGAATGATTTAAACTTTATTGTTTCAGACAAAGACATCCTATAGTTTGTTTTGTTTGTTTAATTATTCTTCATGTTCTGCCACACCAGGCCCTGTAATTTAGTTTTGATATTTACTTACAAGGAAAATTTAACATGTTACATGGGCCATAGCAAATTTTTTTCTGAATGGAATTTTCTTTGTTAATATTATATTCTTGATCAATCTAGTAAGAATTGAAAGAGGCAAAATTTTGATATGATCTTAAATTTCCTTAGTTACTTAAAAGAGTTTTATACAATGGTAATAGATAAATTAAAAGAAAGGAAAAGGAGATTCTAGTCCTTGCTAATCCTTTATTTAACTTAAACTTTCTGGAATTCATTAGTCTCATGTGTAGAATGGAGATTTTACCCACCTTTGTGCTGCTTAATCTTAAATATTGTGATTCTTAGTGGTATCCCAATAATTATTTACTAAACATCAGTTTTACTAGGCATTATAGGGTAACCCATGCTTATCCTCAAGGATTTTATATGTATTGATTAATATAAACCACTTAAAGTGTGAACATAATATAGATTCAGGCAATTTATTAAACACTGTAAGTACTTTAGTAACTTAGCGAAGTATCTTTGTCACTGGCATATGATGGAAAATAATGTAAAGTTAATCAGGGGGTTGGGGTTGTGGCTCAGTGGTAGAACACTTGACTAGCACAACAAGGCACTGGGTTCGAACCTGAGCACCACATAAAGATAAATTTAAAAAATATTGAAAAAAAAAATCAGGTAGTAGAACTGAAGCTTAGATATTGAAGGATAGGTCAACTTACATATAGTTATACTATGATTTTTATTTTAACCTTTTGAAAATTTAGATTTAATTATTGATAGTCATGTTCCTGCCTTGAAGCAACTAACATATTTTGTCAGGACATAAAAGAAACGGTGTATGTTTAAGAAATAACTGGGATGATTAATATTTAAGGATGAGGAGTGTGGAAAGTCCTGTGCTTGATGGAGTCAAAGGGATAAGGAAAGGAATCAGAGAACTAGAAAGGAATTTGGAGATAATATAACCCAATTTTTCCTGGCTATGTACATCACTTTCATACCTTCCACAAGGGAAATGAGATCCAGATAACTTAAGTGTCTTGCATATAGTTATATAGCTAATTAGGAAACTAGCAATGAATATGCTAAAATAATCCAAACAAGCAAGTTCAGTTTATTATGATTGTGTTTTGCTGAGACTAAGATGATTTTGCTTTGAGAAATATTCAAAATCCCTAAATGGAAATTTTTTCATATCTTTGGAGACTTGAATTCTACTCAAAAGTTAGTGATATTTCACATTACAAATTACCAATCTTACATAGAAATACAGGTCTAAAGTTGAACTTTTTCATCATAACTTGTGTAATTGAAACACATGAGATATATCAGAAGAAAAAAAAAGCCAACATTAATCAAAGGACCATTGGCTATTGCACATTTTGATTTTGACTAACAGACTACTTTCTTTCATTTATCTGCTGAGACCAGTAATAATGGAGATAAAAATCATTGCTAAAACTTAGAGCATTTATTTTATAGCATGTATTATTCTTTATGCTTTAAAAAACAATTCATTATATTAGGAGTTATTTGAATCACCCTTTGTTATGCTCATTTTTGAGATGAAGAAGGTGAAACATCAAGAGATGAAGTAACTTGTTTAGGTTTACACAGTAACTAGCAGAACTGGTTTCTGAGTAGCTCTACTGTCCATTCTCTTATGCTCTACAGAATTTGTGTGTGTGTGTGTATGTGTGCACGCGCACACACACGTGTATGATTAATGAATGATTATAGTTTTAGTTAGGGGTGAGAATTTAATATATAAGGGACCTAAATTTTATATGATAAAAGTTACTCCTATATATGGTAAAAAAAATTCCACAAACCAAAAATAGGCAGAATATAGTGTGCTTAATTTTTAAATGTCTTGTAAGAGGGTGTGGGATAACAGAATGTATAGTAAGTGAAAACATGGTTAGTTGGAGTGTTAAACTTTCTAATCAAAAGACCAGGATTCGCATCTTAGTGTTTGACTTAATTACTTTCAGAAGATTACTTAAATTCTCTGAATCTTTTTTACCCCCATTTATTGGGATTGATACAAAAAATTCATAGTATTTTGATTATCCAGTATGCTGTTTTAAGAACAAATATAGCATGTTCTGGGCTTGGAGTAGTAAGTATAAGAGGAAGGTCAGTTAGGGAACTCAGACTTTGACCATTGTTACTTCATTTAAAGAATAATATCCCTCAAGTCTGTTCACAAATTCTGGAAAGTATGGAATTGGAAGTGAGATTGGAAGATAGGGCTACCCTTTATCTTATAATACCAAGTACTAAAATAAATTATTCACCATTCTTTTCTATTAACCAGTATGAATTGTTATGTATTCTGGGTGATATATATGTTTTTAATGTCATTGGGATTGTGGATGCTCCAGAATATTTATTTGGTGAAAATACTTTTTTCTTTTTAATTTAAAGCAATATGGTGAAATTGAAGATTGTCAGATTGATGACTCTTCACTTCATGCAGTAATTACATTCAAGACAAGAGCAGAAGCAGAAGCAGTAAGTATTAAAAGTAATTTATCGGGCTGGGGATGTGGCTCAAGCAGTAGCGCGCTTGCCTGGCATGCGTGCGGCCCGGGTTCGATCCTCAGCACCACATACCAACAAAGATGTTGTGTCCACCGAGAACTAGAAAATAAATATTAAAAAAAAAAAAATTCTCTCTCACTCCCCCCTCTCTCACTCTCTCTTTAAAAAAAAAAAAGTAATTTATCAAAAATTTGGATTTAAATGATTAATAATTTTTAAGGTTTAATATAATGAATGTTTAAATTTAATGAATAAATATGTTTGACAATAGGTAGAATATTTGAAGTGGAACTCATGCTGTAAGAAATGTCCTAAAGCAGTTAGGCAAGTCTGCCTGTAGCGTTATAACAATTAGAAGATATRTACATACACGTACATGCATACATATATGTAGAGAGAGTGAAAGAGTATGTAATAGTCACCAAGTTGAATGTTAAGTTATATTTTTTTAGACATCATGAAATCTTTTCAAATATTTTTTAAGGATACAGATCCTACCCTACTTTCCATTATTATTCTTTCTTAACTCTCCCAGAACACAGTCTGCTTTGACAGAATGAGTTGTAAGGGTTAAGATAGAAGCCCAGAGAATATAATCCTGATGTCTTCCCTTCTTTTTTTTTTTTTTTTTTTTATTTTTAGTTATAGATGGACACAATACCTTTATTTGTCGAACCCAGTGCCTTGTGTGTGCTAGGCAAGTGCTCTATCACTGAACCACAAGCCCAGTCCATGTCTTCCCTTCATACTTATCTCTCATCTGTTGCTTCCTAGTTTCCAGCAGGCTGAATTCTAAAGTGCCTCTAGCTTAGCATATCCCCAAATAGACTAGTACTTCTTGCTCAAGATATGATATGTAGCTCTAGTTTTTAGAGTACTCTTAGTATAGTTGTTAATGTTGAGTGGTCTTTTCAGAGACTGACCAGAAGTTATCTTCACGTGTGGGAGATTCATAATAGCCTTTTTAGCCCTGTATATTCTTTATGTGGAAGACAATGTAACTATTTTGTCTTTGGCATTACTGAAAACACAAGATAGTTTTCCAGACAGTTAACTGTAAGATGCCTTTTAAAAGTTTTAGGTTGATGGTGATCTAAATAATCAGTTTTGAAAAACCTTCTAACTTGTTTTATTCTGTTTGTATCCCCTGTCAGCACAATGGAACATCACTGAGGGTTAACCTGGTAGGAGTTACTCTCTGGGCATTATAGCAAGTGTTAAGATTGTGAGTCTGCTAAGTCTTAGAAATGCATTTACTGGAACCCTAGAATAATCTAGTTTCTGGTGGGGTGTGTATGGGTGGTTAAGTTAGGGTATTATTTCATAGAATAGGAATCCCTGATCCTTGAGTTTTTATCCTTTAAAATCTAGGGAACTCTCAGGTAGGTTTTGTTTTTGGTTTTGTGGKACTGCAGATTGACCTGTCATCTATGCTAAGCACACACTCTACCACCAAGTTACACCTAACACTTAAAAATCTAGTTTTGAGTCTTATATCACGTAAAGACCTTTTGTCCAAGTAAAAAGTCATTTATTTATRATTGTGAGAGTTTAAATATTCTTTCAAATTTATGTTTTGTTGAAAAATGTAGAACTTTAATCAAGTTTTCTCTGAAAGATATTGRTATGTACAAGCCATGTAATAAGCTTCCCTTTCAAAGTCAGTTTTGGTGACAATTTTAAGTCCATTGATAGGTTGTTTGAGTAACATTTCTTTATGTTTTTCTTATTTTCTAGGAAATAGCGATATTATAAAACAATGATAATTGTTATTGGACAAGAGGTTAAAAATGATATTACCAAGTTTGTAGATTTAGTAAGAACCTGTATAAAAATACCACAATGAATCCTGATAGTCAAAATAATAATRATGATGATGATGATGATGATGATAAAGGGAGATCAGTAGAGTAGAACAAATAATAATAATTTAAAAGGGAGATCAGTAAAGGAGAGCAAGTAGATCAGAGGAAGGGAAGGGGGTAAAGAAAGGGAAGGTATTATGGAATGAAACATGAAAAAGTTGTTATGTGTGTGTGTATGAATATGACATAATGAATTCTATTATTATGTATAATTAGAATGCACAAATAAAAAAATATATGTACTAATCACTGAATATTTGCATGGGTAAGAAAAAAACTAAAAACCTTTTAAAATAATTTCTGGAAGTTTTGCTCTTGGTAAGCCCTATTGACATACTCCTTTCTTGGATATCGACTTTTCTACCTTAGATGTTTATTTTTCAAAATTTATTTATTTTTTATTAGCTACACATGACATTACAATGATCTTGGCAATTCATACATTTGAATCATTGGGGTATTTTTATTTTCCAAACTGAATAACAATTTAAAAGCCAAGAATTAATATATAAGAAAGACTTAAGGAGTTACATATATCTAGAGAGTGTTACCTGTTCAGTGTAAATACCATTTTAGTTGGATTTTTTTAATAGGCTGGAAGAAATAACTCCCCCTGCTATGATAAATATTTGGTATTAAGTTATAAAAGTTGTGAAACCATAAACATTTCTTAAGCCAAAAAGTTTCTTAAAAATTTATAACACTTTTTGAAAAGAATAAAAAGGTTGAAGCTGATCATATATAAGCAAAATACAGATGAGAAAAGTAATTTTGAAATTTCTTGATATTAGGGAACAAAAGTGGTTAGGAATTTGAAAATTGGTGCTTTTGAGTTAGGGGGTGCCTTTTTTTTTTTTTTTTTTTTTTTGCCAGGGAAGAATGCTTAAAAAATTAAAAAAGATTGTTATGTACTATTGCCATTATATATGTAAGAAATTCTAATACCAAAAATATAAGCGGATGTAAATTCAATATGAAAGATAGGCCTTTCCAAGAAAAGAAAATTATCAGCTTTTGCTAGTGTTTATTTCTAACTGATATTCTTTTCTTATTTTCTGGACCATTGTTGTTGATGAGCAAATGAATTTTTCTTTGTTTTTCAATAAGCCAATAGGTACATAATAGTTCTAGGTGAAAGTACAGGTATAATATAATTGAGTCATTCAGGCATACCTGAAGAGAAAAATTTTCCCCAGGAAAAAAATTGAAGTATTTTAAAGAATATAAGCAGAATACTTTAAATTTTAAGTTTAGGTAGTTATTACACTTCGATTCTGGTTAGTAAGAAAGTGATTACTATTATTTTTTATTTTACTTTCTACTTATCACTGTGCCAGTGTATTCAAGATGAGTAAGTATCCAAATAGAATTTAGAAAAAAGTAGACTCATCACATGACTGATTAGATAGAATGTTATTTTTCATACTCTCAATTTTACCAGTATGTTTTTTAGGACACTAGGTTCTTGTTTTCAAAATGAGATGGTGAAGGGGTGGTTAAGTTACTGTCTTAGAAGAATCAGTCCCAAAGATGAAGCCCATGAAACTTAGAAGTATAGTTTTTCATATCAAAAAGAAAGAACCGTGTTCTACGCACACATTTTAACACCCATCCCTCAACTTGCAATAGTTGTAAGATTTTACTGATTCAAAACCTGTAAGTTAGGATCTGATATATAGTAAAGTCTCTATTAGCCATTATTGTATTATTGTGCTTTTTTTTTTTCTTTAATATGAGGAGTGATTGGCAAATTAGTGGAACAGGATAAAGGCAAGATGGAGTAAATGTTATCAAAACTCTTATTCTGTAGAACTTCTAAAATTAGAAGTACAGAATTGGATTTGTAGAGAATACAGTATCAATAGTCAGAAGTTGATGAAATTTATTAAGTAAATGGTAAATTTATAGCAAGAACAATGTTAGATAAGAAATGATATTATATATTTTTCATGTGTGCTTTTATTGTCTTAACAATTATGAATGGTATATGAAGGGCACTGTGCTTGCAGAATTAATTAACATTAGGTTTGAAGCTTGGGAGAAAGTAGCTATGTGCCTTGAGTTCCAGAGTTGAAGGAATGGAATTCATCGAGGTCATCTAAAGTAACTCCTGCCCCTAAGCACCTATACCTTAGAACAGTTTTTGCCAGTTTCCATAGAACTCTGCTTTGGCACAGTCTCYCATAACAAAGAATTTTCTTGTCAGATAAGCTTGAGAAAGGCTCATTTTGTATAATCCATATGGAACCACAATCTAAAGGACTTGAGAATTGAGAAGGTAAACAAACTTGTCTAATTTTGCATAATCTACCTTTTTTTAAAGTTTCATTAAAAAAATTGTTTTCCAGAAACTTTTTCCATGTAAGACTTGGAACTCATAACTACTTTTCATAGTTATTTCTTTCTCCTTTGTCAGATGATCAGCCTTTTTTCTTTCTGTTGTGTGTATGCTTGCTTTCCTTTCTACATTGCAATAAGCCTCAAATGAATGTGTGTATGAATAAATGGTCAAAGGACTGGAGGTAAGCCTATGAATAAAATGCTTTAGCTTGAAGACACTTTTTTTAGTAGGTCATAGTATAGAWATTAGAATTGTAAAATGAGTTCCCACAGGCTCATCATTGAGCTTCAGCAGTTATCCACTGCAGCCAATCTTACATCTCATTCACTACAACAACATTTCCCTCCCTATATTGGAGCTATGTCATTTCATCTGTTCATATTTCAATGTGTACATCTCAATAATAGAACTGTAAAAAAAAAAAAATAGAACAGTATAATGTTTAAATATGTTATTTCTTAAATATCAAATATCCAGTGAGAACTTAACTTTCCTTGATATTTTAATAATAATTTTTAAGCATTTCATGGTTATTGATCCATTGTTCTCAGTTATTAATGTTCAAATTGTCCCATTTTTGCCCAATAAACTGTATAAATTGGTTCTTGAATCTTTTTGACAGGATTCTAGTGGTCTAAATAGTGTCCTTGTTTTCTAATTTTAAAAAGGTATTCTTGGCTCACTTTATACTTTTTCTCTTCAAGCATGGAATTTATTATTTTTCTAAGGAACTTTTCTTTTTTTAATTAAACAAAGAAACCACAGTCTGAGTACTAGGGATGCTAAGTATGTTATAGTCACTAATCCTTTTCAGTGATCAAAACTGGGAATAAAAAAAATATACATATTATACATACACGTGTGTACATACATATATGCATACATTAACTTTTAATGCTCTTGCCATAATGTGTATATTACATAATGATTTTACCACTTGTCAAAGACAAAACAAAACAGAAAATCATGGTTATGTAGTTTTGTCTTCATTATTGATACAGCGAGGTATCAAACAGTTTTATCTTGTAAAATGGGAACTCATTCAGTTTGTTTTTTGTTTTGTTTTGAATAAAGACAGTGTCTCACTGTGTTGTATAGGCTGGCATCAAATATTGGATTGTCCTGCTTCTTCCTCTTGAGAACCCGAGACTACAGGGTTATGATACCATGCCCAGTTTTCATTTCAGTTTTGATTCACTTTCCTCCTATGATTGAAGTTGAGCTGTTTTCACATGCTTAAATGCTGTTTATTTCTATTTCTGTTAACTTAATGCCATTTGCCTATTATTTTGCTGAGTGGTCTACTGATTTCTCATAATTGATTTTTGTGTATTCTTTATGTGTTTGTCCCTCTCTTATCAAAGCATACCTCTCAATGTCTTCCTTCCCTAGTAGATGCCTGAGACTTCAGACAGTGCCAAACCTTATTTATACTGTACTCCGCCCCACAAACATGAGATAGCTAYTGTAGGAGATTTACAATAGTAATTAGAAATAATACAAGTTATATAAATGTGATTTTTCTTGGAGCAAGTAGTATATATAGTGTGGATGCTTTGTGGACAAAGGTATAATTCACTTTCCATGTAGAATTGAGATTTCATCATAGTACTCTGAATGGCAATGAATTGTTTATTATCAGGAATTTTCCATTAATATTTTTGGATCAAGTTTGACTGAAACTTTGGAAAGTAAAACCACCGTAAGGTGGGACTGTGTTAGGAAATCAGCTCATAAATTACTATAATGGTGCTTAGAGAGCAAATTCAGGGCCAGACACATTCTAGGCAAATGTACTACCACTGAGCTATRCCACCATCCCATAAGTTAGATTTTTCTATGTATATATATGGGAGGGGAGAGACAGTGTATAGTGCATATTATTTGTAAAATTTTCTACCATTAATGCATCTTTTTATTGCTGTTTTGTATGTGGGAAGATTGGTCATCTCTAATTAGCTATATAAATACCATCTTAATAAATTATCTTTTGATATTTTTGTTTTTCAATACTATGTGTGAGGCTGGATTTTTTTTTTTTTTTAGAGAGAGAGAATTTTTTAATATTTATTTTTTAGTTTTCGGCAGACACAACATCTTTATTTGTATGTAATGCTGAGGATTGAACCCAGTGCTGCGTGCATGCCAGGTGAGCGTGCTACCGCTTGAGCCATGTCCCCAGCCCAATGATGCTGGATTTTTATCTTAAGATAGAATATAAACTTTGCATGTTTTGTTAAAAGCTGTAGAGGTTTTTGATCAGAAATGGATTTTTACCATGCCTTTTTTATTTATTAAGCTATGAAGGTCCCCCTCCCTTCCATTTGTATTGCTCCCTAACATTGAACTAACCATTTCTGGTATAAATCTCATTTTTATTTTTCTTTGCTAAATCATTGAAATCTGCTCTTCTCTCTTCCTTTCTCCTCCTCCTTCTACCTCTTTCCCCCCTTTTCTTAGGGAGGTATTAAGGATTGTACTCAGGGGACCTYAGCCACTGAGCCATATCCCAGCCCTGTTTTGTATTTTATTTAGAAACAGGGTCTCACTGAGTTGCTTAGCACTTCACTTTTGCTAAGTCTGGCTTTAAACTAGTGATCTTCCTGCCTCATACTCTGGGATTACAGGTGTGTGCCACCGCGCCTGGCTCTTGCTCTTCCCTTTTTAAACCAAGTTTTAAAAGTAGGATTGGATTGCAAATTTTAGGGGAAGCATTATTTTTGTCAGGAATCTGTATTACCGGTCTTTATAAAAGTAATTGGAAAGTTTCCATCTTTTTTTGTGCTCTGAGATTTAGGTAGATGTTTCTTATAAGTTTATTAGAATTCATCTGTGAAACTTAGGACCTAGAAAACTTTATAGCATATCTTTTAAAAAGTCTGTAGAAATGATTGCTTTAGGGGGCTGGGGATATAGCTCAGTTGGTAGAGTGCTTGCCTCACATACAGAAGGCCCTGGGTTCAATCCCCAGCACCACCAAAAAGAAAAGAAATAATTGCTTTAGATTTTTAAAATATCTTTTCTGACTTTAGCTTGGTACTTTGGTAGTTTATTTCAAAGAAATGTCATCTTTATATAGATTGACTGTATTTGCATTGGGATGAGGAAATGTAATTTTATCTTAAATCAGAAGTTATTTGCACTGTGTAACTTTTAAAAAAATTCTAATTCTGTAACATTTTTATGCGGCCATGAACTAAAAAACTTGCAGCTGGATTTTAATAGGCACAAAATCTTTTGACTTTATCATAAATTTATATGTGCAGATTTAAAATTTATACCTGGGGACTTTAATATTACACAACTCTGTTCACAAGTCACAGAACATGTAATTGTTTCTACATTTCACATTATGCTGTACTTTTGAGATTGTACTATAAATCTTATGACTATGAGTTATTTCAATATGTTGCTAACATTGATTTATGTTCATTCATGTTACTTTAATTTGAATGTTCTGTTTCCAAACCAGTCACTTTATGTAGCAAGTACTTAGTCTTGACTATTTCCTTAGTTCAAATTTTATAATATTCAGTTCTAAAAGCTTTGTAGGAAATACTCTTCTTTCCAGTAGAACAGCTCAGGGTTTTCACTTCATTTATTGAGATGTTTATATTTATAACAGTTATACATCAAACATTTTTATGGTAGTTATGATTATTTAATGTAATTTGATGATAATATACATGCAAACTTTAATTAGTTTAATTAGTTACTATACATGTCATTTTTAAATTAACAATTAAAATGCAATAAAATTCACTTAGCCTATTAATTCTAATTTAGACATTGATTCAGAAACTACAGCCAAGAATTTGAAATTGAAGTGCCTTGGGATTGTTGTTTTATATAGTAGCTATTATTGTATTGTAAATATATTTCTTCTGGTCAAATATTGGTCAGTAGTAAAATAGCTTTACTCAGTTATGAAAAATTATTGTTGTATTCTTTTGTAAAGTTTATTGAATCACAAGTCTGGTGATTTTTAGAAATAAATAACCATAAAAAGTAAATTGCAAATTATAATAATAAATAGTAAAACCAAAAAAGCAAATGAGTAGATAGTCATCTACAGTTGAATTTGGCTATTTTGATTTAAATATTAGGCACTACAAAATTTATCTTTTTCAGAAATTATTAATGTTCTATATACCAATGTTCTTAATTTTTTAGGCTGCAGTTCATGGAGCTCGTTTTAAAGGGCAGGATCTAAAACTGGCATGGAATAAACCAATAACTAATATTTCAGCTGTGGAAACAGAAGATGTTGAACCTGATGAAGAGGAAGTATGTTTTTCTTTTCCACTTGTTTTTGCCCTTTATTGTTCGTAGTATATATATAAAGTGTGATTTTTTTTTTTTTTAAATGGCCGTGATCTCCTCATAAAGCTTTTGTTCTTGAGCCATATTCCAGACAGGGGATATCAGAAAAATGCAGATGACTTTAAATTTTCTGGATTCATGACAAGGATTATTGATTACTAATCCAAAGAGAGAATATATGAAAGTCATATTTTAAATTTATGTGTATGTGTGCACACATATATTTAAATATCTATGTGTGCACACACACATACACTTAGTTTTCATTTACTCTTAGAAGACAATAATTATTCATTAGTTTTTATCCACAGGAAATTTGTGATATTTTAAGTTTTAGGATATCTATTCTATTCAATTGCTGTATTAATGTTTCAGCTTTCTTGTAATTCATATCGTTTTAGTTCATTAGTGAATGCCTACTATATGCTAGATTCTGTGATAGGCACAAGAATGAATAAGACACGGTCCCTATCAAGGAGCTTATAATCTGGAAAGGGGGGTGGTGGCAGATACATGAGAAACTAATTACAATAATAGGCAGTCTATTATGCTGAATAAAGATTTGAACAACGTGCTGTGAAAACCCTGAGGGAGGAGAGATTGTTTCTGTCCAAAAGAATATACAAGGGTGGTATTGACAGTGGAGCTGGACCCTGAGTGATAACATAGCTTTCCATAACCAGATTCTGGAGCTGGAAATATAGTGAGAAACGTATTTTAGGTAGAACCACAAACTTCAGAATAGGTATGGAAAAGTGCATTTTTCTTGGGTAATAGTGATTAATATGATGACTGAAAGGTGTGGGCATCTTAAACAGTGAAGTGAGAGAACGCTTTGAAACCAAAAATTTTAAAAGTAAACAACTCTGTTTTGCCTAGTCATAAAGGAAASTTTAGGGAAAAGTAAGAGGTTAAGAAATAAAGGTAAGGTGAGGAGACTAAATGATTCTTTTTTTTTTTTTAACCTTTGTTAGATTTTCATAATGGCACTTCATTTTGTTAGAAGAGCATTTCAAGGCTGTTATACATATCCGTAGTCAAATGAAAGAATAAAATGTATACTTTGAAACTCATATACATGATTTGTCATTTTATGTTTTAGATTATACCTTTGTCCTTCCATGAGTTTGAATTGAATGGGGAGAAAAGCAGGAGAGCTCCTGGTATTAGGTATTTTGAAAAGTCTGGAACAGCAGTCTGAGAAACTTTTATGAAGGGATTGGGGAAAAGAAAAGAATGCTATAAAATGTTTGTTACGTATAGCAGAAAAGAAATAATTAGTCAAATTTTTACAAACCATTAGTTAATTTAGTGTTCAGAGTTAGAATCAAAAGCCTAATGTTTTCTYTTTTTAAAGAAGTATTAAGTAGTAGTATTTTGAAGGTACAGATGGTGGTTTAATTTGTTAGATGCAGGAGAAATGGCATATACAAAGTCTTAACTTGGTATTGCTTTGATGCTTGTTTCTTGCAAGCAACAGAATAGAAATAATTGAGTGGATAACGATTACTTTTGTTTCTTTAATGTTCTAGCTTTAAAAATACCTATTGTATTCGACTCAGAGAGATCAGTGTTTAAAAGTGTCACCTTTTTTTTTTTCTTTTCTTTTTTATTTTTTTGTTGGGTAAATTCCTAAATACATTTTAACCTAAAGTTTCAGGAAGAGTCTTTGGTGGATGACTCATTACTTCAAGATGATGATGAAGAAGAAGAGGACAATGAATCTCGTTCTTGGAGAAGATGATTTGACTGATCATTGATCGGCATATGCTAGAACTCTACCTGTGTTTCATTAGTATTATCTAATGTACTTTTACATATTTGTAAAAACAATTTTTTGGTAAAATGTGATGAAGATGGATTTCACAAATAGACAAAAGAGAAGAAAACTACCTTCTGATCCTGTATTTTGAAAGATTGATGTTTGCATTTTATTTCAGTAAACAATTGCTAAAGACATCACACTAGAACATATGCAATGTTTTTATTACATACTTCTACTGAACATTACAGAATTCTTTGGGTTCTTTGTAATTTAATGAATAGGTCTGAAAAAATATGACCCAATACTTGTTATAATTTAGAGGATTTTGTTTTACTCCAAATAAGGAATGAATTTGCATTTAAAATCTTAATGAATGTTTTCAAAATGAATAGATAACATAGTACTCTAACTAAAGTCTCCAAGTTATGTATTCATAATATTACATAGTAGTATGCTTAGGCTTTACTATGTATTAGCCTTTTGTTGGACTTGTGTATGTATTTTATCACATGGGTTTTAATGATAATGGTGTATGACTGCTTTACATATGAGTCCTTATGCATCTGGATGTTAAAAATAAAGTGGAATGGTCTCTTAAAAAGAAAAGAAAAGAAAAAAGTGACAAAAAGAAAAAAAAGTCCAAGACAATGTTCCTTGATTTAAAAAAAAAAAAAAAAAGAAAGAAAAAAGAAAAGAAAGAAAAAGAACAAAGGAAAAAAAAGAAAATAAAAAATTAAAATAAATAGACCATTCCAGATGGTGATCTACCCTTCCCCCCAATTATCACAAAAGAAGCTATAATCACTTATTCTTAATGATTAATGATACCTTTACAATAATGTACAATCCAATGTTTAAAATTCTACCACTTCAGTTTGGTTTCATCCTATAAATTTTCAACAGATGTCTTAAAATTTAAAAGCAGGCTGATTAGTTTGGAGCCAGACTTCAAGTAGAGCTAACATTTGGTGAATAAGAAAGCATCATTTTACATTTTGGATGTATGAAAGAAAACTTGACCATTTGAAGATGTATGAATAAAGAAATGTACTATAGATACTACTTTAGGAAAACACTGTTTGGTAAGTGTTCCAGTCTGATACTTTAAGTGTGCATTTCTTATACTTGTATAAAAATCTTTGAAATTTGCAACAATATTGTGATTTTTAAGTGGATTTCTCTGGCAAGTGAACATGATTATTGAAAGTTGATATAGCAGTTTTCAGGAAATAAATATATTCTTTGTAGAATGAGGGGGTAGGAGATTATTATACTTATTTTTAAAATCCATCATTTCAATTACAAGTGTTTCTGCCTCTCTTGAGATTATAGAGATAATATTAAAAATCACATTTAAAAAAAATCACTTTCTTTCATATTGGAGACCTTATAATCAAAAACTAATTCCACCACTACCATAGTCTGCTGCCAGTGAAGTTATTTATGGATGCTGGTTTTTTTTTTTTTTTTTTTTTAACTTCCCCATACACTTTGGGTTGAAGTTGTATTTTCTTGATGGTAATACTATTTTGTAGGAGTGTTTTGACTTGCAGTTGCTTATATTTAAAATTACACACTCAGATTTCAGTTGTCAAAAATACTTACTTTACCAAAAACTTTACTTATATCTATGATATACTTTTATGTAGTCTTTTGTATGTTGACTATGTGCTATTTTGATTCATTAGGTAAGTTTCTTTTCTTTTCTTTTTAGTAGTCGTGAAAGGTGCCAAATTGGCAGAGGCTCACGTTTCTTCTCTTTACACCAAACAGGTATTATAAAGAAAGTAAATCTTTCGAAGGCCAGTTAAATCTCCATGCTGATTTTTGGCTTTATAATTTGATTAGTAAATTTTCGCCCAATGTTTCCAAAATTACTGTAAAATTCCCTTATAATGTACCTGAAATTACCTGCTTTGTTTATTTCAGCCCATAAACAGCTAACCAGAAACACCTAGCCTAAATTTCCTAGTAACCTAGAATTTTAAATGTTTTAACCATGTTGCTTTAAATGAATCAGAAGACAAGTGTGTTTCACTTTGATCTGACAGTATGAGGATTAAATATTACCAACATTCATTAGGTTCAGAAATTATACTTTTATAGACATTAGTATGGTTTTAATTATAAATATTACTTATTATGGATTTTTATGGGTATGTTTCTAAATACTCATTCTCTGTGTTGTACTTTTTACATGTTCTTTTATTTAAAGTATTCATTAATTTTAAGTAGTCATTAATTCCCATTTTACAGATAAGGAAACTTAGGGTAATAGAAATGGAGTGATTTACCCAAAGTCATGGCTCATGAGTGGAAGGACTAGATTTGAATATAAGCATTCTGATTCAGTGCCAACTTTTTGTGTTTTGTTTTTGGTACTGGGGATTGAACCCAGGAGTGCTTCACCACTGAGCTACATCCCCAGATTCCTCCCAACCCCYACCCCCTACCTTTTTTTTGTTGTTGTTTTGTTTTGTTTTGCTTTTGAGACTAGCTCTAAGTTGCTGAAGGCCAAACTAAGTTGCTGAAACTGGCCTTAAACTTGGGATCCTTCTGCCTCAACCTCACGAGTAACTGGGATTACAGGCGTCCCCACCTGTGCCAGCCCCCCAAAAATTTAAACTACATTACTACTTCTTTCCTAATTATTGATAAGTCATGAGATTGTGTTTATAGTAAATGTGGTAGTTCTTGTCTCAGAGATACTGCACAAAATTAATATATTTATTTGTCATCAGGAAGTTCATACTTTTACCCTCCCTTTTAATGCAGCACTTTGTTCATATCTTTGTTACAATTCTTATGTTGTAATATAATTTATCTGGTTTATATGTTACAAGCTCCTCTAGGAAGGGGACCATGTCTTATTCATCTTTTTATCTCTACTGCTTATCATAAAGCCTGGCTCATGTGGGCACTCAAATGTTTGTTGGATAATATAATGAATGAATGCATATTTAAATCTCCAGTAATGGGGTGACAATTACCTCCCTTGTTAATTCTTATCAATTTTACAAAAATTTCTTTTGATGGTCTTTTCAGTCACTGAGACCATTTTGCTAAACAGTGGATACAGTTAAACTTCTCTTTAGAGGGTTTATACTTACAGTCTTAGTGAAATTTCCACAATAATTAGTAAGGCATTAATATTTGGGAGTGTTAAATGTTATGATTTCAGAGGTAATATAGCCTTTGAGTTTCTATTAGAGAATGTGATTGCAAATACTGAGAATCACCAATCTAGTCCATCCCACTAATTTTTTATATCCAAAGGTGACCTAGTATAGAAAATTGGACAAGTGTTAAGAGATAACAGTTTTTGGTCTCAGCTCTGCAACTAACTGTGGCCTTAGACAAGTCTCTTACCTTATCCAGAGTTGTTTCCTTGTCTGTAAAATGAAAGGGGTTGGACTAGATGATCTCTAAGATCCCTTTCAAACGTGTAGTTTCTTTGGTGCTATTTTAGTGTTCCAAAACAATTTAATATACATAAATCAATTCTTTATGTCTGTTGTTGCTGTTGTTTCTATCATCTTATCAGTGGAAACAACTTAGATGTCATTTTGATAATACATATAATATATCTCTTGGTACAGTTTTCTATGTAGACTTCCCAAATTCCATTCAACCTACTAATAAGTAAAAATTAACTTCTCTATTCACTAGCAACTTCCATTTCCCTATTATAACTTTTCCTTTTGTTTCTAAACTCAAGGTTTAAAAATAAAAATATCTGCCTGTAATGCAAAAAGTCTCTTCATATGCAAATATGGATTTAAATCTACTCTATTCATTTCAGTTTACTTTCTTTTTTTTACAATATGCTACCTAAAAGTAGAAACATTTTTAAATTCTATAATTCAACTAACAAGTTTTTTGCTTTACTGTACATATATGAGCTGTTGCAGGCAGAGTTGGGGATGGGAAAGGATTAAGGGCAATGTAGGTTATCTGCTTATAAGAAAAAACAGGAAAATTATATATTACTGGTTAAAAGATTGATTAGGATTACCTCAAGGGATGGTTGAGTTGTCATTTTACATATTTCAGTATTTTATGTCTCTAAGCAGTTGTTGTTTTAAGTGTTATTGGATAATTGTAACATTTTAAAAATTAAGTATTTGATGCCCATACATTTAATGAAACTATGATGCAGGAATGGAGAATATCCCATAACTTTTGTTTTATCGTCATATAATCCAATGTAACAACCAGTAGTGTAAAGACAAGGCTTCACTGTTTTAGCTGATTACTTATAACAAGTATAGCTGAACTTAATAGAAGAAAACATCTTGTTACTAAAACTGGTTTKGGGGCACTGTATTTCCAGTCTTATTTGGAACACTAACTATTGGGCATAAAGGTCTTWAAAAAAAAAAGCAGTTGCTTGTTTGGTATGTTGAAATATTAATGATTGTATCAGAGTATCATACAGATTTAATCCATCCATATTTTCTTTTTCCCCTTACACATAAAACAGACTAATTATAGAAAATTAGATTTAGTTCTCCTAGAATTTACCTAAGTATTTATGAGCCTCTCCCCCTTTTATAAAAAAGTTTGCTAGCCTTTTAAAACAGATGTCCTGTATGATTGTTAAATTAGTTCACTTTTTTGAGCTTTCTTTCAGAACTTCTAAAATCCTATAAATTAAAAATGGAAATTTAATGTAGAATTAAATCACCACTGTAAAATATTTGTAAGGCAGAAGGAAAATTTCTTTTTCCCATGTATTAGAAACTTATTTTTGTTAACATCTTGAACTGGCTAGTTCTAAGGTATGTATACGATTTTTAGAAAAGAGTAGTTCTATTTTTTTCTCTTTGACATTATATACTTATCAAATGAAACAGTCTTCTAAGATAGCTACCTAAAAGTCCTAGGAAGAAAGAAATTTTGGTGAACATTACCCCCATTGTCAATAATTTCAAATGGAAACATCATACTTCTTTAGTAGAAAAACACCTAATATCTTGCACTTTGTTAGTATTTTGTGCTCATTACTTAATTAATTGAAAACACTTTTAATTTCACATCCCATTTTTATATTTACTCCTTCCTAAGTCTCTCCCTTCCTGTTTCTTTATTTCATCCATTCACTTTTCTTCTCATCATCCAAAGTTAGTCTTTCTTGGTATACCAGAYACTGTCTCATTTTGATGCATTTCTTTTTGACCTTAGTACTTAGTATAGAATTTTATACCATACAGAGTGTTTAAAGAATGAAATGGTAATTGAATGGAATTTAAGGAAATTAGTTATACCTTGCAATTACTTTTAAGAAAATTTTTATTTTTATTTAAAATACCTTGGAGTTCATATTTTTAAAATTTTTCTCTGCCTACCCACACCTCTATGAATATATAACCTGATAAGGATCTAGATTTCCTAACTGAAAATTTCAGTCAGAACCATGTTATAGTGCTATGAGTTTTGGAAGCTTGATGTTTCAAAGAAGCATGATGCAGAGAAGTTTTGTTAAAATCACTTTAGTCCAAAGCTAGTCCTTTGTGTAATTTGTCTGCAACTTTGATTATGATTCCTTTCTCAAAAAGATTATTTTAATGTTTAGAAAAGTTGGAGATCAATTTATGGTGTGACTCAATTTTTAGAATTATTTGCTTCTTGCAAAGTTTTTTTTTAATAGTCTTCTCTTTTTTCAGCAGAGAGAGATCATCATTGCCTGAATTTAGTTTTGTGACTACAAGAGCAAGACCTGTTCCTGTCCGGAGACGACTGTTAATGATAATATCATCCTATCATTTTGTTGCCCTTTATCAATTGAATAGATGTTTACATGTACTATAATTAGCATTTTATCTTTACAGTACACCTGAGTCCAGAAGTATCTGAATGTGTGTTCTGTGTGACCTTATTCATAAAGGTTTTTTCCCCTTACATTATAGCCACTATTTTTTTAAACACCTTAAAGAAGGAACAAGGCCTCTTAGTTTCCTAATATGAGTACATCAACCTCAGCCAAATTGCGAATTGTGTCTGGGAAATCTATAAAGCCATGATACTGTGTGTGTTCATKAGCATGAACAATTTATAATGAAGAAAATGAATTAAAAAGTTAAGCATAGTTTGGTTTTAATTTTTTCTTGGTTTTAAGTTATATTTCTGAGATTACAATAGTCACTTAAAATAATTTTGAACAAATGAGATATTTTTACACACTGTAATGCTTGCCCATTTCTTAATGAATATACTTCATTGCCAGCACCACTTACCCAAATATTTTTTTTAATTCTTAGCTCTTCAAAATCAACAAGGAGAATAATTTTCTTTTTGAGTAATAAATGATGATCTGTGGATTATAAATATTGAAAGAGATCTATTAAATGTCCAATTTACACAGCTTTTCCTGTTTTCTTCACTTGTAATCAAACATCAAAAGATGATCAAAGATGAGCAAGGGGAAATAGTATAATGTGTCTAACATTGTTAAAGACTATATAGTTTCAGCTGCTTTAAAAAGTGTATAGTGCTTGGTTCCGTAGCACATATACTAAAATTGGAATGATACAGAGAAGATTAGTATGGCCCATACTCAAGGATAACACAAATTCGTGAAGCATTCCATATTTTTAAAAATGTGTGTACAAATTATTTATAAACAGTGGCTTAGAATTACCAAGACTATGATTAAATCTCATGTACACTCAATATTCTTTTTAAAAAATTTTCTCAGTATTCCTTCATAGATTCTTAGGCATTTAAGCACTCAAGTCTTTATTAGAAAAGTCAAGTTACACTGATTCTATTCACCATTTTTTTTAAGTTCATCCAGACATAMTTTTTTTGTGTGCAAAGCTGACTATTCTACATTATTTTCCCCTTGAATATGCATCGTGATTGTCTTCATAAAAAATGAAAAGAATAATAAATACATAGTATTATCTGTTTTGATCCACATTGGTTACACAGGCATGGTTAAGGGAAAAGTCATATTGTGAAAAGTCTTCTGATAGTTATTAACAAGGCATTTGTTTTCTTAAACTTGACTTTTTTGAGGGGGCCGGGGGCACTCGCATTTACAAACTAGCAGGTAGCTAGCTACCGGGAATTCAAAAACATTTTCCCAGATTAGTTTGGTACTTTTGATTTTCRAGGAAGGACCCTCTGCCCCTAAAGTAGTAGTTCAGCTGCTAGATTAGAACCCAAAGAACATCTTCTGAAGAGACCCTACTTGCTCTTAAGTTTTTTTTTAATGGATGTGGACCATCTACYACCACCTTCAACTTTGTCATGGTTTTTCCCTTTGCTTTTAAATTAAAGCAAATTGAATATGCCAGTGGGAATCAAAAGTCAAGATGATTTGATTCTCATTAAGATCATTGTGTTTTTTGAAAATTGCTGTGAGATCCAGTTGGTCAGTTATGTATTTAAATCCTCATATGTTGATTAAAGATAGGTTCTCATTTTTTAAATTTTCTTAAATAGGATTCTCATGGAGCTATGTGTAGATAACTGTACAGAATCACTTTTATGTAATGAATGAAGTGGTTTACCTCTGCATGATTGCATTATGGAAGCCTTTTATATATCTTTATATTTTTCAATATACTTAGATTTTACACTATTAGCCACTCTAGTCATGCTATATTTGTTTTTTTAATAGAGTTTATAAATATTTATGCTCAAAGTACAGATCAACTGAATATTTTTGGTCTTGTTTACAAGATAATACTTTAAAGTGATACAGGCCCCTCAAGTGTCTTAGGAAAAAGTCGTTGGTGCTACAAAACCTTTCGTTAATCATTTTGAACCTGTTGTCTAGACTTTGCTAGGCTTTAATCTATGATTGCTTATGATTTATTCTAATCTAGCAGCATAATTATAAAAGTGGTTCACGCTGAGTCAAGTAAAGAGCCCAGCCTATTTGAAACACCTCATAATTTAAGGAAATGGTACAGAATGACTGTACACTTATTTGTGCCCAGCTTCCCCTAAAAGATTATTTTGATAAGAAGGTTATTAATTTGACTAAAATTTTAAATGTATTCAGCATGGCTGTTTTCTCATACGTCAATTGGAAAACTTCTCTAGTACTAAAATATTATGTAATCTTACTCTGCTTCAAGTTGCCTTCTTTCACTCAACAGTAGGCAGAGTAATTCTTGACTATTTGCAGAATACTTGATGAGTTATTAAGAGATGTATTATTACATTGTACAAGTTTTGCATTGATGTGTAGAGTTTTTGTTTTGTCCCCAAATTTTATTCCAGCACCTTAGTGAATGTTCTTAAGATACTATTGTTAAGTATCAGCAAAGCATTCATATATGTTTACTTTTGATTCTCAGAATCCTGAACTTGTTTTGAGTGGTACTACTTCAGAACATATTGTCTGGCACAAGATTTCCTTTAACAAGTGGTTTGTTTTAACTTAGTTTCTGTGGACTGCTGAATCTAAAAACACCAAAGGAGTTTTTTCTTGTCTGAAGACTGGATTGTTCCAGTGTTTAATACCTGTGCCCATAAGTATCCCATTTCATGAATGTGTGTTGGCATGGGGAAAAATATTCCCTGCTCTTTGAGTGGAGCGAAAGTAATTGGTTAAGCTGTAGCAGCTTTTTGTTTATTTTTAAAGTGATAATAAAACTTGAACTTAAAAAGGCAAAACTTGAACTAGAAACTACTCTTGTATGCTTAGAATGTTTATAGTATTACATGGTTTATGTGGGGTTGTCAACATTTTTATTATTTATAGTTGAATTATGTTTTGTTTGTTAAATATCCATAATGTTTATTATTTTTATATTTCAAAAATTTTAAAATAAAATAGTCTTACTAAAAACAGTTGTTAACGTTTAGAATTGTCCTACATCTTGCATCAGCTATATTATTATGAACTAGAAAGATATGTACCCAATGGGCATTAACAGTTGAGAATTCTGAAAATTGTCTGTACAAAGAAATGGCTCCATATTTTCTCTTGCCTCTTCACCCCTCATTCTTGTTTTTTTAATTTAATTTTGGTTCTGATGTGTTGATAGCTTAATAACTCCTCTCACATATGCATACATAAATTTTCATTACCCTTTTCCTCTCTAGTTTCTGCCTCTTCACTGGTGGAATTTTTCTCTATTCATTTGTGGCCAACAATTTAGGAGTGATAAGTATAGAAATACTATTATGATGTCAAAGGAGGAATTCCATGGATTTCTAAAAGTGAAGTATCAATCCCCAAGGCCATTGAAAGCTTTCAAATTTCTCTTGAATTTTCACCTGAAGTTTTTTCCCTTCTGATCTGATTTGGCCTACTTTCCCAGCATTTAGCATGTTCATTTCATATTTAATTTTATCAAGTGGATTTTATGAAAACTTGCAAAAATGCATTTTCATCTCACTGTTTCAATAAAAAAATCTAAAGCGATAACGGTTGTGAAATGGAGAACTTTTGTTAATCTTGGTAAAATTATTTTAACAGTATAGTCATTTTATATATACACGTATATTTGCAGATGTATGTGTATATATTCATGCCTTTAGAGTATTTGAAGATTGTGTTAGCCTTCATTTAAACCCAAATATATTTTTTCCACAAAGAACAAACTTGTCCTTTTTAGTTCTTTTTAAAGATCATATGTAGGGCTGGGGATGTGGCTCAAGTGGTAGCGCGCTCGCCTGGCATGCGTGCGGCCCGCGTTCTATCCTCAGCACCACATACAAACAAAGATGTTGTGTCCACCGAAAACTAAAAAATAAATATTAAAAATTTCTCTCTTTCTCTCTCTCTCTCTTTAAAAAAAAAAAAAAGATATGTAGTATGTGTCATTGTAGAGAAGCTAGAAATGTTAAAAGGCCAAAATGTAGTATAATAGCCTTTCATCTATAAATGATCACTAGACGTTTTTAAAATGTGACTATACAGTTTATTTTGTAGCCTATTGCAGAGTTAATACCATCTTTAAGAGTCCATCTTTTGTAGATGAATCATGTAATGAATCAATTCTTAGTTTGGGTAGATAGGCCTTTTCATTCCTTGAATGTATGAATACATCCTTGAAAATCTGTACCTTCGATTATTTGTGATACATCCTCAGAATTGCTTAGTCAAAGCATACTGATTTTTAAAACTTTTGATAAATTTTGCATTTTATCATTTACAAAGCTGATAATACATGCAAATATCTAGGTAGGTACTTATCATAATTTAACTTTGAAAATAGCWTAAGTTGAGTTTGTTTGCACATTTTAGAACTCAATTGAATTTATTCCATGTTTATATTATGGCAAATCATATTATGCTTATTAGTAAAATAAGTAAGCTGTGATATAGTATTGAAACTGTTACTGATGTTTTCCACAACATATAGTCTCCAGGATTTTGTGAACCACAGCAGTCCTTTCTTGGAACTACATATTTTTAAGTAATTTTTTATGACATTTTTATTTTTTAAGAAAATGTTTTTGGAGTAGTCTATGTTGAAGGTATGGCATATCTTAATAGATAAAATAGTGGGAGTATCAGGATTGTAATTCCCATTTCTAATACCATATTATAAGAATTTGGTCACTAATTAAGAATTCATAACCAGGAAATCTCTATACTTTAATCTTCGAACTGATTTTTTTTTCCTGAAAAATATTTGTGTTTTCTTCATACTGGTGCACATAAATATGAAATGCAGTATAAAAGACAATCAAATAATGGGAAGATAATTGTTCCACCTAGTTTTCCTTTTTTGTTTTTTTCTTTCCTTTCATTAAAAAAGGTTTTGAAAGAAAATCCGCCCTACTGGAAAGAAAAATTTCTTGCAAACCATATTTTTCTTTTTTTATAACTTCTTTTTAGATATACATGACAGTAGAGTGCATTTTGGTATATTATACATATATGGAGCATAACATACTAATTAGAATCCTATTCTTGTGGTCATACGTGATGCGGAATTAACCTGATAGTGTATTCAAATACAAGGATAGGAAAATTATATCCAGCAAACTATATTTTTCAAGCTGTCCTTGTGATAGTAATGCTTTTATTTAAATGGGAATGGGCACATTTTGGATATAATATACAATATATGAAATGAACTCCAGTATTTGAGGTATTGTATACAGTGATGATAGCATTTTCTTCAATTCACAGTTTGATTCACTTTTTATAAGTCTAACTGATATTAAAGTGTCACACAGTATTTTATATTCAGTGCTCTGAGAACCATGATTCTTACAGTATACAGTGTGTTTGAGGATTTTTTTAATTTTAGGACATGGAGTTAATGAGATCAACTGATACTTCYGATTTCAGGGAGATAATGTACAGATCACACACAAAAAAGTAAGCCTTTCAAGTATCTGGTATTCTTGAAGCATTTTTGATATTAAGATGCTTTTATTTATCACAAAGATGTCATTTAGTTTTTCAGTGTGTCTGGAAATGCAGGTAGATATTTGTAGTGTCAGGGACATTACCAAACCTAATTTTTGGAAAATGATATTAGAAGTGTCTAGAAGTAATACTTAGAAATTATAAGAAGTATTTGCAGTTTGGGAGTTAGAAAACTATCAAAAGTAAGTCTAGTGGGTAATGTGCCAATTTTACACTTTCTTACCAACTTAATATTTAGTTAATAAACTAAGGAATGATAGGTCAATTTCTGGCTTTTGACGAAAATATTTGCTAGGAGCCACAGCAAAAATATTGATACAGGCACCTTTGGGTTTAGTGACTGCCAGCCAGCCATTGAGATTATGATTATGTTAAATTACATTCATATGGTAATTGGACTCCTGCTGTTTACCTGGGCCCSTTWYGGGACTCAGGTTACTCATGTCACTCTTGTAATGGGAGAGTTCCCATTGGTTGAGAAAGGATGGTAGGAGGGTGTTCCGGGGGAAGTGGAGCCCCCGGCTCAGGTAGACACACACACGTGTGTGGACCGGCTTGTTAGGGGACGCACACGGCCTCTCACAAAATAAAACTTTGTTTCAGTTTGACTGGCTTGTGTTTTTGTGCCCAACCGGTTTGCAAGATTGCAAGCCGGCGTGCACTGACATCCTAGCAGGAAGGCGCCCAGCAGGAAGGCAGCAGGCATGCTCKGCGACAGCAGCGGCAGGAGCGGAGCTCGGGAGAGCCCACGYGGCCCGGAAAAATAGTGACGATACCAAATGCTGACAAGGATGCAGGGAAACTAGATTGCTTGTGAAAACGTTATATACATCTATTCTGGAAAACAGTATGCCTAGTTCTTAAACTAAACATGCAACTGGCGTATGAATCAGAACTTGCACTCCTGGGCATTTACTTATTTCTATACACAATTGTTCATTGGAGCTTTATTTATAGTAGTAAAACACTGAAGAKAATCTTTTAGTGGGTGAATGTTTAAACCAGTTTATTTATTCATGAAATAATACTCTTCAGTAAAAATAAACAAACCACTGATACTCTGGAAGAAACTCCAGAAATAATAATGAGTGAAAAAAACCTATCTCAAATGGTTCTTGTGCAATTGCATTCATATAACATTCTTGAAATGCCAAAATTATAGAAGTGATAATTTAGGGGGTTATGGAGAATGGAGGGAAGAAGGCATGATTATGAAAGAGTAATGAGATTTTTATGAGATTTTTATGAGGATGGAGGTATTCTGTGTCTTGACTGTTACCACTGACAATATTCTGGATGTGGTAATGGTACTACAGTTTTGCGAGATAATACCATCAGAGGGAACTTGGTAAAGGGAACATGGGATATCTATTGTATCTTAAAACCACATGTGAATTTAAAATGATCTCAAAATTAGTTTAATTTAGAAAAACGAAAATCAAAAGGTACACAAAGCCAGAATGACATCTAAGTAGTTACAAAGGAGATATAGAATCTAGAGTATTGCCTTGGAAGGAAGTGTACTCCCTGAAAAGAATGTGGTCTTGAGAGTAAGAATTTCAAATATATACAAGGAATAAACTGGGTTTGCATACCTGAGAATTTCTGAAGTTACCGCAGACTCATTTATTCCACTGGTTACACTATAACTATGGCCAGTAAATGAAACAGTCCCACAAACCTGCTGCCTAAAAAAGACCTCAGACTGGAAAATGGCAAATGGGGGTGTAAAGCAAATTAACATGACCTAAAATGATGTAARGAAAGACTTTTCATAACAAGTTCARTTGAGATATGAAAACTGAGCTAGAGTTTAGTATGAGGGAAGTGTATTCTTGATGGATAATTTGTGCAAAAGTAAAGAGGGATCAAATGTGATGTGTTTGGAGCACTGAAAGAAGGCCAGTATGGCTGTAGTGTGGAGACATAAAGCTTGAGATGTATTCGTATGGAAATCTTAATCTATGGGTAAGGATGAGAGTCTCTGGAGATCAAGTATAGAGTTTGAAACTCTGTTTAATCTAGTGTAAGCCTATTTTGCACAGGAAAATTAGAAGGGGCAGCCTAAGAAGTAGGAGGAAGAGCAGGAAAGGGGAGTTTACAGGACAAAGTCAACAACAACAAAAAAAAGATTTTGGAATGAGAATGATAAACAGTGTCAACTGTTGCAAGGTAGATAAGATAAGATGAAATGTCAAAAATATCCTCTAGATTTTAGGATAAGAAATTGATTTTAGTTATTATTTATGTTTTGCTTTTTCTTAATATTTATTTTTTTTAGTTTTCGGTGGACACATCTTTGTTTGTATGTGATGCTGAGGATCGAACCCGGGCTGCATGCATGCCAGGCGAGCACGCTAATGCTTGAGCCACATCCCTAGCTCTCGCTTGTTTGTTTTTAAAATGATGGCTATGGGGGCCAAAAGAAGTTAAGGTTATAGAGACAGAATATAGGCAAGGTGTTTTATTTTGGGGGGATTTTTTCCCCTCATTTTTTAATTGGTGCATTATAGTTGTAATATAGATGGGATTTGTTGTTGCATATTTGTTTTTTAGTTGAAGATAGACACAATACTTTTATTTATTTTTTTTTATGTGGTGCTGAGGATTGAACCCACTGCCTCACACGTGCTAAGCAGGCACTCTTCCACTGASCTACAACCTCAGCCCCAGCTACCCTAAAGAATTAATTACCCTTAATTCTTTTTTTAATATCTATTTTTATCTTCATTTTATTTTTATGTGGTGCTGAGGATCAAACCCAGGGCCTTGCACATGCTAGGCGAGCGCTCACCGCTGAGCTACAACCGCAGCCCTACCCTTAATTCTTTTTTTTTTTTTTTTTTTTTAAAGAGAGAGAGAGGAGAGAGAGAGAGTTTTTTTAATATTTATTTTTTAGTTCTCTGCGGACACAACATCTTTGTTGGTATGTGGTGCTGAGGATCAAACCCGGGCCGCACGCATGCCAGGCGAGCGCGCTACCGCTGAGCCACATCTCCAGCCCCCCTACCCTTAATTCTTTAGGGTAAATATGGAGAAGTAGTATAGCTGGGTATATGGTGGTTCCATGTCAGTTATACTAATTTACAGTTCCACCAACGGTGTAAAACTGTTTCTTTTTCTCCACATTCTCTTCAGCATTTTTGATGACTGCCATTCTGATTGGTGTGAGATGAAATCTCAGTG